AATCAAGAAATGAATATTCAGATGTATTCTGATCTCGTTAAGCTTTTCATAACTTAAAAAGACGTTGTCTGTTAGAGAATAAATAATTAACTTGAATTGAAATCCATATGAAAATGATACAAATAACAATATATGTCTATGCACACCAATAATATATATTACTTATTTATTATTAGATAAATAGATTCAGAATTTTTGTATTCGCACTTGTATTTCTATCACATTGTTATAAAGAACAGGTTATCATTGAATTTTACTTCGATAAAAGATAAAATAGCAGCCATATGTGTCATTTAAAAAAACATATTGAAATGTTTTGTGCTTGATTGATTCATGATCATTAGCAGAATACTACAACCTTTATAATATATGTAAAGTTGTCAAACCGATGGTACTATTCAATCGCTGGATAAAAATCTCAATAATTCATTCATTTTTCGATGCTGTCCATTACAAATGTTATTTGTGATCAATTATATTCAAAGATAAGGATCAATCATTCCTCTTTTCTATCCATGTGTTCATTTATTCTACTATATGTATTCCATAAGATTGTACTGTAATTTTTGAGTGTAAGTCAATCGGTAGATTATATGTACTCATCGTTCATCGAAGAATTGCGTATGAGATAATACTCACTAATGATCATTGTAATTTGTTATATTTTCAATAGATATTCACAGATGGAGATACGTGCAAAACATAGTATGAACACACACTGTGTCTTATTATATTTCTTATAACTTTCTTACGATGAAGTAAATTAATGAACTCATTAATGCTCTCTATTGAATTATAGAAAGCGAAAGAGTTACGCATTTCCATTACTTGATAAAACTATTAAAACACGCTCAGTTTTCTATATTCACGTCAGTCAAATATTGAAACGATAAGCAAACATGTCCTCTACAACCGTCATCTATTTAAATTACATCAGCAAACAACTAAATCTATATGTTGCTTCATTTTTTTATATTTCTGGTCTGTTAAGCAACGTCTTATGTCTATTGATGTTTCTTTCGATGAAAAGATTACGAAAGAATCCATCGTCTATTTATCTGTTAGCATCATCTATCGGTAATTTAGCATTACTTAATTCTTCGTTTCTCTCTCGCATTTTTTTGCCGAATTTTATTTTGGATCCATCATCAACATCATTAGTCTGGTGCAAACTACGACAATATATTGGGCACTTCTCCTCTCTTGGTTCTCTACTTTGTACTGCATGGGCAATGATGGATCAATACTTATCGACATCAACCAATGCTCGTCTTCGTCAGTTTTCCACAGTACAAATAGCACGCCGTTTGGTTTCGTTGACATTTTTTCTGTCGTTTTTACACAGTTTACCACTGATTATGTATAATCAAATCAACATTTCCAAGACTACTAATATCAGTTCATGTTCACTTTCCAATAGTGTAATCTATCGAAACTACATCACTTACTTTGTTACACCATTTCTTCTTGGCATTATTCCTACTTTCATTATGATTGTCTTTGCTGCCTTAGCCTATGCTAATATCAAATACCTTCATCAAAGACAAATGCGAACACAAGTTCAACAGCAATTGACACAAATGGTCAGTGCTCAAGCTTTTTTTGTTCTAATTGGTACAATTGCATATACAACACAGACCATCTACAATTTACTAACCATGTCCACACAGAAAAGTACTCTTCGACAAGCAGAAGAAAATGTTGCTCTTACCATTACTGGAGTGCTTAGCTATATAGGTTATGTATTCAACTTTTATATCTATATGGTAGTTTCTCCATCACTTCGTAAACAGTTCAAACAGTTGATCAAAAAATTTTTACATTATCTCACTTGTCATAATATTGTCACGAATCGAACTGCACCAGTTCACATTATTCACAATAACTAACGTCATACTTTAGACCGTATACAAATGATTTTTTTGAATATCCTTGAACCGCCTTAAAATAAATATCTGTACAGGTCAATAAATAGACCATCGTTTTCTTTTTTATTTATATATAATAAAGAAAATTTATTCAAGCTTTCTATTGAAAATATTTTATCTTCCTATTATATTCATCCTTCTTGTCAAGATATATTTTCATTAATTAGTTGATTTCATTTGTAGTTGTTGTATATTCTTCATATTGTTGTTTAAAACCAAGTATTCGACCAATAATAGCACCTATTTTAACGATAACTTTCATAATAGGTAATGGTAATGATGCTGGATATGTTTGAGCATTTTCAAAAAGTACAAATATTTGCCAAATAGAAATAGAATCATCACGTAAAACACCAGCTAAATTTTCAAAAAATTCTTGTCGAAGTCCATTAAATCTATTCGCTGGTTCAGCACGAATAAGAACCACGAGATCTTCTTTGTTATCATTCATCCAAAATGTGTGTGGAATAAAAGGTGGAATAATTAGAGGTTTTGGACATGTATGAATGTTACATGAATAGATCTTATCATTTAATTGATATCCTAAATGACCTTGAATAAGTGTAAAATATTCTGTTTGATTAAGATGAATATGTATTGGCGGTGTACAAGGTCTTTCTAATGGTGAAATTTGAAGATTACCACAAGGACCATGAGCATAAATTCTATTTTCACATTCAAAATATGAAGATTTTAATTGTTGTGAACGATTATAAAAATAATATTGTTCAGTATTATTTTCCAAAGAAGATGAAATATAAGATAAACCTTTTGTACGTGTTCGAATAAGCTAAATATATATATTTGAAAAAAATAAATCAATCTTTTCTAATTTTAATTTAAAAAAATGAATTTACTTGATATGTCCAAAGACGATAATAAATAATCCATGCAATAAAACTACCTAACACAAATGATTTTAACCACCAACGCATGTTATATATTGTATATATCTAACGAGAAAAAAGAAATCGACGAAATATTTATGGGTAGTAAAGAAACAAAAAGATAACTGTTTCGAGGTATCAATAGAATAAACACGTGCGTTATTCACAATATCATCAAGAAAAGAAAAGAAAAGGAGGTCGCCAATAAGAATAACTGAAAAAATATCGAAAAGAAAAATGTCGAATAAAATACGAATAAGAAATAGTCGCTATGAATTTATAATAGATTTTATTAATTGAACAAATATTTTTCGTACAAATTATAATCGATATTATCTCATCGTTTTTAGTTTTTAAGACTTAAAAATTGTCAACAGTGCTTGAATTTTCATGATTACATCAGTTGAATAAAGAAACACATTTGACGGTCCGAGCAAATCATCCTATTATATTGATCTGTAACGATTAATTAATTTTTTCTCCTTGGCGTTTTCTCTTTCGATATTTATCCATTCCTACACCCACCCTCAAACATGTTTATATGCAGTCCTAGTCGTTCATTGCTTATCTGGATTTTATTTCTGTTTTATTAATAAAGTGTGTTCAAAAGAAAATAGTTTTGAATAAAAGAAAAAAACCTATAGAATGTTATTATGGTGCTGTGTAAGTAATTTTCAAGTATGGTAAGGCTTGACCATATCTATAGACGATGTATTCATGATATTGAAATCCAGTACCATGGACAGAATGATGATTTTGTGGTGCTGCACTAAGTGTAGTGTTTGTCTGTGTTTGTACGGACTCATTACCTAACAAAACTTTATTGTAAAAAATAATACGACGCCCTGTGTTTGGATCAGATGGTGCATAACCATTCGATTTCCGAGGATCATCCGCAAAATAGGCACCACGTCCTAAACAAAAACATTACTTTTACATGTTCGATAAGTAACATATGAACATACCCCATGCTCCCGACGTAGCAAAAAATCGATCATCAAAACCTCTATCAATTATTCCTTGAATTGCTTCACCACCAGTTCCATGAAAGAGTTCTCGTTCTCTTGGATCATTACCCGGACATTCTTTTGATATTGTTCGTTTCATATACTCATACAACGCTTCAATATCAGGATTTTTTATTTGTTCAATAGATATAACGTTTGCTCCAGGTATCTTTCGAATTTCGGTAACAATATTTTGATATAGTAATGTCGACGATGGATATGGCACGAGTACAGCATTGTAAGTTTTTGGGGGATCTGGAATGAACGAGAATGGCGTACCAACTTGTGTCCATCCTCTTGATACCATCTTTCTAATTCGATCAGCAACAGTTCCCGATGTATTTGGCCCATTTTCACCATCAATTGGTCGTAAAACTTGAAAATTCTTATTACGAATATTTTCAACAATGGTTTCAAGTTGAATTGGATATAATCCACTCGCAATATCAACACGCATGCCTAAATCTTTTGTATATCCACGTTCTAATGACAAATTACTAACATCAAAATCGATACGATCATGTGTTAAAGCAATATGTGGTTCGATTAAATCCATTGTAAATGGGCCAGTCTTTGCATCTTCATCAATCAATAGTACGTAACGCCAATCTTGTCGCCATTGTGTTGCTGTAATTCCATAACTATGTAATGCATCAAGAAAACCTTCAATATCAAAGATTTTGGATTGTGGTAAGTGACAATCAAGATCTGAAGGAACAAGATCTTTGTTTAATATTGGAACACCAGATGCCGGTTTTTGGACCCATTGATTTAAGGGTAGGTTAGTTGGTTTTGATGAATGATTACCAACAACCCAATCACGAACAAAACCACCTTCTAGTCGACAATAGAATTGACATACAGCTATCCAGGCGACAACTTCCATACGTGTTTCTCGTGTAGCATTAGGACCTTTCAAACTTCTCCACATGTCCAACGATGTGCGTTCTGGATCCGTAATATTGGAAATTTTCTTTTCCATATCGAGAAATTGATCACGTACTTGTGGTTTTAAAGCTCGAGGAGAAACTCCTAAATATAAAATAAAATGAATCTTTTGATTTATCTATATGCAGTGACATATTTTGTACGAAAAGACTCTTCAATAGTAGGTCTATTTCGAAACGAATACTTAACATACCTGAATTTGGGTCTCGAATTACAGCACACGTACGTAACCAACTTAAAAATGACATAAATTCATTACGTACTAATTCATTTTGTGAATCAAGACCTTCGACGGTCACATCAATCGTCCCAGTATTCTTATTCATTTTCGTTCGTACTTTCACCTGATGTTCAGATTCCCATCGCCATCGTAATGGACCAAATAAATCACCAGGCATACTTGTAACACTCTTCAAATTTCTTGTAAGATTATAGTGAGGACTATTTGGCTGATTGGATGCTAATGTGAAATTTAATGTAGTTACCAACTGCTGCCGAACATAAAGTTCTGCATTCAGAATATTACCGGATGTACCGTTGAATATTAGTTTCCTATTGTTGATCTGCATTTGTGTATGTGCAAATTGTGTAATTGCATTTTGTAATATATTGGCATCCTTTAATCGTCGTTCTTCGTTTTCGTTCAATTTTAATTCACGAGTAAAAGTATATTCTAACCATGCTGCTTCAACTTGTCCGACAAATGATAAAATAGCAGTTGAACGTATAGCTGTTAAATAACGAACATCTCGAGCTAAAATCAATGATGCCGGTACAGCTCCTTTATTTCCCGTTCTCAGTGTTGACGTCCGATCAATAACGGCTATTGAAGATGCTTCATTCAATGAATCTTGCTGTCCACTAGTCAATGTTCGTTGATTGATATTGTATTTAACATATTGTTGTGTTTTACCTTGAAGTATTTTTTGCGATGCATAAACTTTATCTGAAAAACCTTTCAATAAAGCTTTACCTATATTTTCCCAATTGCCCGATTGAACTCGAGCAAGTTCATGTAATTCATCTGATAGACTAAAGGCTTTTTCTAAATTTTTATATCGTCGTAATGCTGGTTTAATTACATGTGCGGCAGTAGATAGGCGTTTAGCAGTACAAACCAAATCAGTATTGAACTGTTTAGCAGGTACCGCATCGCGAACTAGTAAAATTGTGTTCATCACTTGTAAAAGAGTCATAAAATCACCTTCTGGACGTTTATATTCCGCTGGAATGGATTTCAATATGGCTGACGTGTTAAGAACAGACAGAACAGATGATAAAACGATCAAATCACGACCACAGCGATATCGTTTCAATGCAGCATAGACAGCTTTAGACATGGATAAAGAGCTAAAATCAGGTAATTTTGCTATTGCCGCACCCAAATTAGTGAAATGTGCGTTTGAAGCAGTGTCAATAAGTTCTAAATGGAAAATTTATCGAACTGTACTTAAAATGTTGACAAGAAAATCTACCTAATCGTTGTAGTTGTTTGATAGCATCATCAATATATTCTTGTTTTGGTTTATCGGGTAAATATTCTTGAAATTCTCTTAAATTTGTTTTCAATCGAGATTTTCGTAAAGAAAATTCGATGTTCACTAGTTCTGACTGACATATTTGTGGAATCGGATATTTTCGTTGTTGCCCTAAAATGACAAAAATTATATTCTTCATTCTAACAATATCTTTTCTAAACGGACCTGATGGATAATTATACAATGCGTAGTATTCACCCGGTTGTGTTCGACCAAGACGACCAAGTCGTTGTTTTGTTGTTGATTCAGCCGCTTTGATTTCTTGTAACTCAGTTCGTTCTAATTCTAAACTATACACTGGCATATTGATTACACCAGTATCAATAACATATTTCAAACATGGAAATGTTAACGATGTTTCAGCAACTGTTGTTGAAATAAATACACTACCTTGTTCAATATATTTCTGTTGATCAATAGCCGATTGTGATTGTATAAGAGGGTAGGCAACAATAGCACCTTTAGTTAGTTTTTTTAATAATTGACAATTTTCATGTACATCTTGTGTTGAACCAACAAAACAAAGTATTTGATCATGTCGATTTCGTTGACTATATAACTGTTGGACAAGATCAAGAAGATTTTCATTGGATACACGATTGAAAGTTACTGGATAAAGTGTCGATAATGATGTTAAATTAAATTCAGCTAAAGAACAACCAGAAATTTTTCGATACAATGATGGAACTGATGCATCTAAAGTAGCAGATGATATAATCAATTTCATTTTTGTTTTTAATTTTGGATTTAATTTTAATAGTCGTGCAAATAGAGCCAGACATAAATCAATATTAATCGAACGTTCATGCACCTCATCCATAAAAAAGATGACTGATTTTGTTGTCTTCGTATTTAGTGTTATCAAATTTTCATCGTTCAATAGACGTTCTTTTAATAAACCATCGGTAAGATAAAGAATATTGCCTTGTACATTATTTTCGGCACCACTAACTGCCCATCCACTTATGTCATCGTTGACCATGGAATTAACACGTTGACTTATCAAGTTACATGGTAAACGTCGAGGTTGTGTAACAATAATTTTGTCATAACCTTCAGCAACCAGCAATGCAGGTAGAAGTGTAGATTTACCCGAACCCGTCGCTGTTTCAATAGTTATAACTGTATTGTTTTCGATTTTGCTTAAAAGATCAAATGATGCATCGAATAACGGTAATTGTGTGAGAAAACAATAATAAAAAATCATTAGACGTTGTAATAGAGATACAATCATGTAAAAATGTTTTAATTCATAACCTTTATAATCAGCATTATTTTTCAAAATACTCTTAATCCTGTCAATATGTTTGTTCAATGCTAAAACAGATTCTTTTGTTGGTATAGTTTTTGTTGTTTTTTGTTGTAATGAAATATGTTCATGAATAAATTCATCCAGAGCATTTATCTTCAACATTTCTACATCAGATGAAAATGTTTCAGCTTTCATATAATCGTTGGTTGAATCAATAATAGTTTTTCGAAATTGTGGTGCTGATTCTTTAATACAACTATCTATTAGAGTTCTCAGTTTATTATTCACGTAAGTTTTGTATTGTTGTACATAATCATCATATTTTTGATTAATTAATTTAACCAAAGAATTACAATAAGGTTTCCAATGGATCAGATTCTTTGGATGTATTCGATGAACAGTTCTTAATAAAATTTGTATATTTCTATTCGTTCGTTGATTATAATATGCTTCAGTTGATTGAATTTGTTTAATTAGATTTTCTAAACGTTCGAAAATGTTCTTCAATTCTTTATGATGAATCGGAAAACCTTTTAGTACAATTTTACTATCATATTGATCGTCTAATTCCATCACTGGTACATTATCTTCAAAATATTCTTTTAGAGGATAATCTAATTCCCTCAATGTATTTATAATTAAATTGAATTTTAAGAGTACTGATTGATTCGATTTTGGAACTGTATATTTAATGATGGATATTTGTTTAGCAGCTTCTCTTATTGAATTTTCATGGTTCATTTTTGCCTGTGATTCGTTTTGTAAACGTTCTAATCGATCCATTGTAGTGTTTAATGCTATACTACTAGCTTCGCTTTGTTCGGCCGCATTGTTCAGTTTTTCTTGTACTTCGTTTTGTAATAGGACTATCTGTGCTTTTAATTGCTCATTTTGACTTTCTAGAGCAGCTTTCGCTTGTTTAATTGCATCATCTTGTTCAGAACGATTACTTGTTTCGGAAACTTGACTAATTTCTATTTTCTCTGATATATTTTCAGATTGACTCATTTGTTTATCGATAAAATCATTAGTTAGTGCAGGTATATCCAAAACAGGATTCGATTCAGTTGTCAATGAAGCTACATCGCCTAGAAAAAAAGAATACATCGAATAAAACAATCAACTTTTCTTTTTACCATGTTCAGTTGTTGATTGAAAATCATTGCTTTGAAGTTCATTCAAGCTCCAAGTACCAGTATTGTTGTTTGAGGCATTGGAATATATATTATCGTCATCATCACCATCATCTGTTCCATTTTCGTTTGTTAAAAAATTATTGATAAATTCTGTCGAATTACTTTCGTCATTATCAGTTATCATTGCACTTGGTCCGGTCGCTGATTTTGAACCAGTCAATTTTTCTAGCCGTTTAGTTGTTAATGGTATCGGATTGAGATTATTGATTGTCTTAAAATTGTCCAATACTTTGATACTATTTTGATCATTCGTTGTATTTGCAATTATTTTCGGAATCCATCGAATAAAACCCTTTACTGTTTGATTGTCATTTTCGAATGTAAATGTATATAAATTACATGTAATAATGTTGTTTGGATCATGATTACTATCAAAATTACAATTAATATTGACGCTTCGTCGTCTAGAATTCATTGCATCGTCTAATAAGGTATTTCTTTTCAAGTCGCATGTATACCAACTGTTTAATTTTATCTGAAATTTGCTATCGTAAACAGATGGAAAGGTTTTTGAATCCAGCGTTCGAGCTTCGGTCTTCGACTGTTGCTTTCCATCGTATTTGATAAACATTAATTGCCAAACACAATAAATATCAAAATTAGCTATACTAGATCCTCGACATTGAATCCATGCTAAACTATCTTTTTTTGATGGATTTGGTTCTTGATTTTTACCACCACGTAGAAAGGTTAATAGATTGACGTTGTATGTACCTTGCCGAGCACTCAAATAGGTTGTTGTATCAAATGATTGTTTGTTTGCTTCTAACATTAAAGCAGCAGATAAGGTATGATGCTCACTCATAGTAAATTCCTCCCATTCGTCTCCATTAACCGGTTTGTATTCCCAAATACAATTGTACGGTTTTCGATCATGACAATCTAGGATAGGTTCAGTTGGTAAAGAGGCATTTGGTATAGTCGTGTACGACGGGACAAGAAAATCTTTAAAATAGTCTTGTATTGCTTGATGATTTTTGCCATTTTGAATAGGTGTTTCACCAAGTTGATTTCTTAAGAAATAATTTGCGCCTTTTTTAATCAAATATTCGACAACCTCCAAATTATTGTTAAAGCAGGCAGCATGCAAGGCTGTCGAAGCAAATTTAGGATCCGGATTGTAGAGTAAATCAGGGTTGTTCGTTCGAGTGTCATTATCATTGATCAATGCAAAAGACATTTCACTTTCATTTTGAGCATTTACAGAACAACCAAGTGTTTCAATTAAATGTTGCACCAAACGAACATGATTATTTCGTGCAGCTGAATATAATAGTGTTGTTCCCCAAAAGCCTGGCTTGTCTTTATACAATGGATAACGTTTGAGAAAAGCATCCACTGTTTGCAAATCCCCCTTCAGTGCAGCTGGATAACCTTTTGTAGCCATTAGTAAACCATTAAAATCATGTTTAAAAGAATATAGAATATTGGCTGTGAGTTCCTCAGTAAATACTTGATTGTCTGAATCGTAATGATATTGATGTAAATGTTGTTCGATATACTTAGAACACGCTGTTGATAATTGTGGTAAAGAATCTCTCAATAAGTTTTGAATATCAATGGTTAGTGTATCTAACAACTCCTTTTCATCATTGTCAACTGTGAATGTGTTCAAATTATTGTTCTGAACTGAATTATCCAATAATGGATCCTCAACGTTGACATTTAGTTTTGCTGCTGAAGCTTGCGTTGTAGTTGTAGGATTGAATACATTTGTGTCTGATAGACTTTCTCGCTTCTTTTTCAATTCTCCAAGAACTTCGTCGATCTTCTTAATGGCTGAAGTTAAACATTGATTCACTCTAGTCTCATCCATAGATTCCATTGTATTTAATGAACGGATCTGAAAATAAATGACAATATAATTTTATTTATGAGCTAGGTGTGGATATGGGTGTAAGGGTGTAGTTACCTTCACTTTCTCATATCCACTCACAATCACATCCTCAGACTCTGATAGATCCTACTATACCTTGATAGATTTTCATAGAAACTGAATTATTTTATAATTTATTTACGGCATTCAGTAACCACCCGGAAGTTTTGTTAGAAATTTTGAAAACTCAAGTCTAAACGCACAGCGAACTTTTTAGTATTGCTTGATTTGCTGGCTCAAATTGTCGCATGTCAGTCGAGAACTGCTTTCAATAGAATTATGCGCTTACATTCGTCTGTCGGCCTTGTCCTTTTTTTCAAAAGTATACACGATAAGAAACAAAAAATTGTCAATATTTTTTACTTTTTCTTTCTTTTCTACCGTCTATAAATTGCACAACCACGAGAAATGCGAGCATGTTTTTATTATTGATTGAAAATACAGAGTGTTTATTGGAGAATTTACAATGCAAAATATGCATCTGTCATGCGGAGTGAAAAAAACCCTGTGCAAAGTAAAAATCGCTATGGGTGTGGGTGTTTTACTCTTCATTTAGCCACAGTTATATCGACACCCACACCTTCGAACAAGTAAAAACAACAGAAGATATTGTGAGATTAAACATTTATAATAGTCCACTACAAATTCAATACACATAAGCATTTTTATTAATCAAAACGGAAAACGTTGTTTTCAGTGCTGATATATATGAATCAAAGGGTAGGGTGCCGCTAATCAGATGACTTTTCGTCGAAAGCTATTTTATCCAAAGGTGTATGTTGGAAACTGTTATCAATTTAAAAAGGAAAAAAAACTCATTGTCCTCTTATCTTTTACCTTAACTAAAACACACTACTACAGAACAAGAGGCAACTCTTAAGTTTGTCTTGTAATTTCAAAGCGTTTTGTAAATTACTCTTTACCTCATGAATTAAATCATAAAATGAAAAATGTATATCACTATATTGAAAATTAGTTTGAGCATGAGAGATTTGGCTATGAAACCAGGTGAAGGAACTTTTATTTCATACAGTAAATGAGAAATTACAATCAAGAAAGTATTATAATTATATAGAATATTACTGAAAATAAATGCATTTTACTTACGACACAAAATTACCAAGGAGTTTGTTCTTCATTTCTCTTCACAATATTCACTTCTTAAATACTCAACGATATCAGTAGTACGTGAGGAAATGAAAAAGAATCAGCATTCTCTATGATAAGAGAATATCATACCAGCACATTTCTCTCCATCGACAGAGAAAAGAAAAAAAACAATGTAACAGAGAATGAAAACATCGGAAAAACAACGACTAAAAGGAAGAGTGTATAAAATTATAACAAAATATAAAAGTAAAATAGTAATCGCAAAAGGTTTTTAAAGAAGATGAAAGTAATTCATGAAAGAGATAATCATAATAAAAAGAACTGTATAATCACCCAATAGTGTATAGATGTGGGTGTGGGTGTTCGTATTCTTCTCATTTATTACTGATACTCAAACTCTCACACCCACCCATGCACTAAATATTGATGTCGTTGATGCTCCTAGACTGTTTTAGTTAAATTTTGTTTTACAATATTTATAAGAAATTAATAATAAACAGTTGATCGCCCATCTTCATTTACTGATAAATATTCCCAAGCAATTTGATTATTATTCAATTCTTTTAAATGATCCTACAATTCTGTATAAAACTAAATTGAAAGAGATATATTCAGAAGCAACATACCTCCAAACCAAGTATAAATACTTACAACAAATGATCCTGAATATGTTTTCTTTAATTTCCCGTAATTGAAGCAGAGTTTTCCATAAATAATCTAATTTGAATTACAAATTGATGTTTTAATGATGGATAAACTTTTTGAATAATTGAAGTAAAACAATCTTCTTTGAGAAAAGTATGTTAGTATGTTTGATCAAATGCTTTATTAAAATACTTTTAAACACTATCATGGATTAATTTTGTTGATGAATCTCCATATAATATTGAATTTACTCAATTAAATGTTATTACTCTTAGCTTATGTGATGAATTAATTGGTTCATGATCAATAAGGCGTGGATGTGGGTGAAGAGTGCGAAGAGTTCTCACACCCGCAATAATAATGTTGCTCTATTCAATATACTATTCCATTTCACAAAAATGAATTTTTTCTTTCTTGTTTTTCGGATATTATTCTTATTGCTGTAAGAGATGCATCAATATTATTCATACTTACTTGAACTTTTATTTCTTAGATATCAAACAAAGAAAATTAATCTTCCACTTCGTTTCTAACGATAGATGAGAGTGCGAGTCTATTTGCTATATATATTTCAAATTAATATCTATACGCACATCCTCATGATCAACTTGTGATAATTATTAAAAAAAGAAAATCGTCTTAAAACAATGACATGTTTTTTTTCATGATCTTTATTTTCAACAATCTTCAAGTTATATAACAAGTAAACATAACAATAAATGGGAAAAAAAATGAATTTTAGTTAGTCAAGTACTAATTAATGAACCCATAACCGAATAGTTTCAGTTCCAGTTAAGTTTTCTGTAAACGTTTGTGAAAATTCCGATGACATCCATCTAACGAGATCTTCTTCACTAGGAAAATAATTATCCTCTTGATCAGATTGAATAATAACCTTTAATGCCTGAAGATTGTTCATTCCATTAATCAGTCTCTCGATATTTGATCGATCATCAATAATAATTTGAAGAACATGACATTGCTTGGCTAATGATGAACGAAGAAAAGTTGTACATTGTTCAGTATTGAAGCAAAAATTACGTTTTAAATAATGACCACTTAGTAAATTAAGTCGACGAATTGAATTGCTAGTTAAATAATTGGGAAGATGCTGTATCATTGATGAATCCCAATTATTAATAGTTAACATGTAAAGACGAGGTGCTCGGTTGATCAACATTTGCAATTGAGATCGAACAATGTCAACATCAACATCAACATCACTATCACTTGAGATAATGAGAGAAATCAACTGATCAAAATGAGGAAAAGCAGTAAGAAAACGATCAGACACAGGAAATGCAAGTTCAAGATGACGAATATTGTTAAAACGAATATGATATAGAAATGAATCGTTTGATGGTAAACAATATGGCAACAAAGTGTTTACACGATTATAAGTACAGTAGTCCTCTTTATTTGGACATGTCGATATAGTAAAAACATTTGTGCTGTTTTGAATAAATGAAAAAAACGAAAAACAATACGGTAGTGTATACATATAAATAAGAATCTTTCTAAAGTCTGAGCCCCAATGACATCGAATAAACCATTGATGATCAATTAGCCAAAATGGTGTACGATATGTGTCGATGAATTCATTGATTTCTTCTTCATTATTAAGAGAAAAAAGCATCGAAAATCGAAATGTCATTAGTTTTGGTAAATAATCAAGAATAAATTGTTTCCATTGATGACCATTCATATACGGTTTACCAAGTTGAAGAGTTAAACTAGTTAAATTAGGCATTTGTTGAAGTAAATTAACCGATCCATTAGTTAGATGATCAACGATCAGATTTATTGAAGATATGGACGAAAGAATAGATGGAAATTGCGTATTGTTCGGTAATTTATCGACACGAGTAGTTAAAAATCGAAGATTTGGTGTACATCGAAATAATCGAATTAATGCATCAGAATCGAACATCATATATTTGATCCATAAAGATTCAATTGATTTTGATCGAATCGATGGAAGACAAAAATTTCCCCTAGACGATAAATGCATATCCAAATGACAAAACATTAATTTCGGTAGATTCCAGATGCAATTAAGTATATCACGTAAGATTTTTCGATCACATGTCACATGACAATTAATAATATTAAAATTAATGAGATGTGAATCACAATTAAATTGTACGACTATTTGTTTGAGCATTTCATTTGAAGATATATGATAGAGTGTTAATGATTTTAATTGAATAAATCGATTTAATGAAAAAGAATACGAGAATAAGTTATTGATTTGATTTGGTGTATCATCATCATCGGAAAGACGAAGTCCATTTAAATAAGGAGCAATAAATGGAAGATGTTCACGGCAAATAATATCAAAATTATCTTTGGATATGGACTGCATATTGAGACCATGAGTTCGAAAATGACTAATGAGAAGACTATTAAATCGATAATTAAGATGAGAAAATGATCGAAGAAGTTCAACACTTGGTAGATATTCAAAAAAGTCGAGTAATACGTCGTTTACTAGTTGTTCGAAATTCATTGTTTTTACTGTTGATTGTGGATGTGTAAGCAATAGAATTATATAAAATCTTATATAAGAAATAATAAAATAAACAATTGTTTTGATTTGTGTCAATGATAACCAGTAGAAATCGATTATATGGAAGATAATTTATTCGTTATCTATTGTTTTAGTCAGTGTAAAGATCAGCCTTTCGTTTTGATGTGTGATGAGACTTAAAATAGTTGAATGAAACTTTTATAAAAATATCAAATGAATTCTTTTAATAATAGATAAATTTAGATTGACCTATGATGATAAGTTGTTCGAAAGATATTTACAAAACTAGTGACCTCTATAATACATTTTCGTTCATTCAATAGCTTGTCTCACACCTTTGGAATCAGGAAAAACAAGAAGAAATCTAGAAGAAAATGTCTCGCTCTAAAATCATAGGTCTTTTGAAAGATTTGTAGCATCAACTTCATCTTTCGGTTGAATCTTTTCTTTTTAGCAATTTGAATTTCTAGTGCGATGAAAGTGATTTCATAATCGAAGACGTCAACTGTGTATGCTTTGATCGATTTCTATATAAGTAACCTGATGCTTCAATCCATTAATTAAATTTAAAGTCAGTTAAGTCTTCCGGATCTTAAATTCAATATATTGAACTAGCATAAATCAGTCAATTTGTTTTTAGTGTGATCAGATCAAGAATCACTTGAAATAAAATAAGCATTCAAGAAATGTTTAAATCTATCTATAAAATTTATTATCACTTTGACCGATTCAATATCAATAGTATATTTCAATTGTTCAATACGTAGGCATAATCGAACTAATCTTGAGATTGGGTGTGAGTAAGACAATAGATGCCAGTTGATCATAATGCTCTCACACCCACATCCTCTAAAACGTATCTGAATGTATAGACGAAGAAATTATTTCGTCTGTAAATTGAGTGTTATGGTGCATTAAAAGAGAAGAAATAATGTATGGTATTATTGTTCGTGTTTTTTTCTACCAACGCCGTTCTCTTTTTATTTTTATTTTTTTTTTCAAATACTTTTATTGTTCCATTTCATACAAGGGTTAACAAAAGAAAAAGTCAATTCAACAGAACATAAAACAAATGAGAGTTAAACTTTGATTTGAAGAAATAGTGAGAGAAACGGTGTTTACATCGATGTATCTAACATATTCATTTCATTTTTGTTTTTATCAAATTGTTCTTTTCGATCTATTCCTACATCTCATATTTCATCTTATGATGGAATTACGTATTTAGTAATAAAGTGCCGTTGTCTTTTTTTTTATTCGTCTTGTTCTCATAACCACACAGGCAACAGAATAGAAAGAAAGAATTGAGTGAAAAAACAAACTATAATCAAATATTCATTATAAATAGAAGCCGTTTTGTTTACTAAATAATACAACGTGCGACGATGGACAAAAAATCATCAACAATTTTTACATCAGATGAATCTTCAAGCACAAGATTGCGTAGATCACGTAATGCTCAAACGTTCCAAAGCTATCACTTAGTCTGGCTATATGAAAGTATTGATGATCTTAGCAACGATATTTATAGCAATGCTATTATAAAACTGCATGGAGTTGTCAATACTATCAATACATTCACTGATGTCGATGAATGTATCAATTTTATCACCGACGACGAAGAAAAGAAAATAGTTATGATAATTCCTGGGTCATTATGTCAAACTATTGTTCCTATTGTTCAAGATATTTCTCAAGTACATTGTGTTTATATTTATTCTGAAGATAAAGAAAAATATGAAAAGTGTATCGAAGGGTGGTACAAAGTGCAGTTGGTTTTCACCGATATTATAAAATTTTGTGAAACATTGAAGCAAACTGCTCAAGATTGTATCCAGGATTTGGTATCTATCAGTTTTATTGAAAAGGACGAAATTTTGAATTCAGATCTCGATACATTGGACTCATCTTTTATGTATTCAAAAATATTGAAGGAAATTCTACTTACGATAGATTTCAAGCAAGAACACATCGATGAATTTCTTACGTTTTACCGCGAACGACCTGTTTGTGATCCCGATGAACTTATGACCATCAAAGAACTATCTGAAAAATATCATCAATACCGACCTATTTTGTGGTATACGAAGAGCGGCACTCTTTGTTCTATGATCAACAGAGGATTACGTGAAATGCAAGTCGATTTCATTATTAAGTCGGGATTTTTTGTTCGCGATTTACACAATGATATCGTCGCATTGCATTCACAACAGTACACGGTAGAACAGGGTTCTAATTCATTGACTGTATATCGGGGTCAAGCTTTATCTCAGAAAGATTTTGACAAATTGAATAACACACAAGGTGGATTAATATCCTTTAATAATTTCTTGTCAACAAGTCTCGATAAAGTTGTAGCTACTGGATTCGCTGAAAGTGCTAAAAATGACACTTATCAATTATCTGTTGTCTTTAAGATAATTATCGATCCATCAAAATCTTCGTCTCCATTCGCTAATGTTACGGAAATTAGTCCTTATGGTGAGAGAGAGATTCTCTTCTCTATACATTCCGTCTTTCGCATAGGGCAAATCAAACAAATTGAAGGCTACGAATGTTTATGGGAGGTGGATTTAACATCGACATGTGATACTGATCCACAATTACATGCTTTAACAAAACGTATACAAGAAGAAACAGCTTCAGAGTATAGTGGTTGGTATCGACTTGGTCAATTAATGGTGCAATTAGGGCAGTTTGATAAAGCAAATGAATTATATGAAAAATTATTGACGCAAACAACTGATTCAAGTGAGCAAGGTCATTTATATTATCAACTTGGATCAGTTAAGATGCATCAAGGTGAATATGCAAAAGCAATGAAATTTTACGAAGATACACTTGAAGTTCATTATAATGTAGTTCCATTATATAATAATGAAGTAGCTGGTTCTTATAACAGCATCGGTTTGGCATATGACAATTTAAATGAACCTACAAAAGCACTTTCATACTATGAAAAAGCAGAGAAAATTGCTCGAGAAACTCTTCCGGAAGATGATCCTCGATTATATTCTTTTAACAATAACATTGGTTCAGTATATAGCAAGATGGGTGAATATCGAAAAGCTCTTTCGTATTATGAAAAAGCACATGAATTTCTTCAAAAAACTCTTCCTGCAAATCATATTAATTTTGCTACTTTTTACAATAACACTGGTTGGATTTATAACAGGATGGGTGAATACACGAACGCACTTACACAGTACGAAAAAGCACATGAAATTCTACGAAAAACTCTTCCATCAAATCATCTTCAATTAGCTGTTTCTTACAATAGCTTAGGTTCGATATATGATGAAATGTGCAAGTATCCCAAGGCACTTGAATATTATAAAAAGGTACTTGAAATTGTCGAAATAACTCTTCCGAATCATCCTCTGTTGCCTGTTACTTATAATAACATTGGTGTAGCATATAAAAATATGGGTGAACTATCTCAATCACTTTTATATCTTGAAAAAGCGTTCGAAATTCGACAAAAAACTCTTCCTGCAAATCATTCTGACCTAGCTAGTTCTTACAATAACATCGGTGCAGTATATCAAAATATGAACAAGTACTCTGAATCGCTGACATATCTTGAAAAAGCACTCGAAATTCGTCAAGCTGTTCTTCCAGCGAATCATCCTAGCTTAGCATCAACGTACAACAGCATTGGCAATGCATATTATTTCACAAATGAATATTCAAAAGCACTTTCATATTATGAACGTGCTTTAAATATTTATCAACATTCATCTTCTCCTAATCATCCTGCCATTGAAAAAATAAAAGGAAGTATTGCAGCTGTAAAAAACAAATTGTAAACACTTTTGTTTCAAATATACATTATTTTGAAACAAAAAGAATATTTTTAGTAATAAACAAACTCACACATAGTGAAATACTTCTTTTCCTGATTGTATATCAACGATTGATAGAGAGTGAAAGTATGTGACTATAGAACTAAATAAGTATTTTATTTGTTCACAGAAGTACAAATGAATTTAAGCAAAAGTAACTATAAAGATGTGGATGAGATAGAATATCTATACCCACACCCACCCTCAATTCGATATAGCAGCTGTAGCTGAACCACATTTAAAATTGTTTGTTATTTGACAACCAGGATTTGTTGCTGTCGAATATTCCTAAAGAGCACAGGAACATAATAGATATTATATTGAATCAAACAACTTACATAAGCACCAACAGTTGGTGTTACTGTAGATCGTAATTGCTCATTGAAATCATAAACAACAAATTGGTCACTAAGAGTTATACCGGTACCGATTAATGCAGATTTCACTGCTGGATAAAAATCATATGAGTTAATATTCAAGAAGATAGTATTATCAACTGTGAATATTCCACCCGATTGAATGCCTGCAGCGTCAACAATACCATTTACAGCATTATTAAGAATCGAATAACCTAAAATAGCAATTCAAACGATTTCCTGTTCATACAGAGAAATTTACCAGCTAAGTTCGCAGAAGATTTGATTGATTTTTGATTTTCACAATACAATACATTGTTTGAAATTAATATATTATTATTTGATAAGCCATTTAGACGAAGGCATGCATCTGCTTGTGACATATAAACAGTATTATGACTTATGGTTATATTTCGAATGTAGCCAACCGCAGGATAAATGGAATTTTGTAGCACACCAATTCCAGCAAGATCTAATACGAAAGGTAATTTTAAAAAAGTAAGCTTCTGTTTATTCTTCATATTAATATTTTTTTTATACTTACTTGCATTGATGACAATATTATTGGTGACTGTTGCTCCCGAAGTACATTGTATGCCGAGATCATCTGTGCCAGCATCAATTGCAATATTACCATCAATCAAATTTCGTCCACGATTATAATCATCATAAACAACAATACAAGGACCAACTGTTTCATAGCAAACATTATTAAGAATTTTAATATTAAATGAGCCAGTCTATAGAAACGAACATTCTTCAGTAGAAGAAAAATCCTCAAGAAATATTTACTTTAACTTGAAAACCAGCTCGTGATCCTCCTACTGAACCAAGTGTATCATGACAATAATTGTGATCAATGATAGAATCTCGAATTCGACATGCATCATTCTCACAACCAAGATAAACACATTCACCTGTTGTAGCGCCTTCATATTCCCAATAGAATTAAACAATTAGAAAAAATACAAATAATATCATACATACTCAATGCAGCTGTATTAGTAATTTCACTATTTCTTAAAGTTATATTACTATATTCATTTCCAACATCATTTGCTGAAAATCCTGTTCCAGTAGTATTATAAATGTAGATATTATCAAAAATTGCATTTGATGTAACTATATGTCAACGATAGAAAAAATATATATATTGCAAGAAAAAATAAGAATCTACATATAGATCTACCTGCTGGTCCTAAACGTACACCTCTTGAACCTTTAGTAAATGCAATATCTTTTATCATAAAATTTAAACCTTGAATGTTTATAATATTTTGAGAATTAGCGCCAGCTTGTGCACATTGAATAACAGGGCGTGACTCATTGAGTGCACCTCGAATAATAATGGGTTCTGTCAGTAGACCATTTAACGTGAGCTGAAAATAACCAGAGCCAGAAGTTGTATAGATACCATAATGAATTGTAGCAATATCACCTGCTTTTAAATTAGTCAAAATCGATTGCCAGTTCGATGTTGAAGTAGTAATATCGTAGGCAGTGCTTTGCGTATAATGAAAAATAGTACAAAGAATGATCATAGTTAAAAGTGATATCATCTTTTTTATACTAAAAGAAAAATAAAGACTACATATTTAAATCAATAATTCACTAAGCTAATGTTTTGTTGTATTGAAAAATGTGTTGCATATGAAATGATTCTTCTAAAATTAAAACATTTTCGATAAAAATCGGATGTCTACTTTTCTATACTTCGCTTTGTTTGTGCACTTTCTTCTAGAACTGATGACTCATTCTTATTATGAAAGATCTCATACATTATCAGAAAAATATATCTATGAGGACATGCAATAAGATGTGTTTTGTAAAATACCTCTGTTATATATGAGAATATATTTCTTTTCGCATAAAGATGCCAAGGTATTTTTTGAAACAAGCAAGAAAGGCAGAAAAAGTTTTAATATTCTTTTTTTAAGTTATTTATAACTCTCAATAAAAGTCTTTGTTCCTCATTGTTTCTACAGGATCATATTTTATATCAAATTTATGATCGAATAAAAATACAATATAAGAGTTTTATTGCAGTGAGATACATATATCATGTTGAAATAAAACTCTCATGTCAGATCTTTGCTAGTAATAGTTAAACGAATGTAATTAATTTTTCTCACTCTTTGGTATATTAATATTATTTGATGCTATATGATCCGATGGGTCTACATAATTACTACTGTGCTGAATGAAAGTCAAGTCGTTAAATTCCATCGTTTTTACTTTTGAATAGATGATGACAAGGGAGCAAGTGCGAATGCAAACCACTGCCATGATACATCTTTTTATTAGAGCGAACAAAAACAAAGCAGAATGCACAAAAAGTCTTTAGTTTCTTTAATGTCCAATTAAAATGGAAAAGAATACGTTCAGTTGAATAAAATATTGTGATGAGTGATTTAGATCGAATGAATACGAAGTTATTAATAATACAAAAGATTTTTGAAGAGAATAATTGACTGTTGCATTTTCACTCGGTTTAAGGATGAATGCGACTTTTAAAAGTGTTACTTAAGAATTTGCCGAATTTTGTTTCGAGTAGGAAAGTTTGTTTATAAAGTCGTGATGGTAAAATATACATAAAAAACAGACTAATTTGAGGCATGAATGATATGTAATAAGCGATAAGTGTTCCATGAATGAACCATGAACTTTTTTCATAATCACAAGCATCAAAAAAGAGAATGATCAATTGAGGTAGTTGTGTGACAAAGCAGATAATAGGACTAAACAATAGATCAGCTCGTTGTCGAAGTTCAGAGGATAGTGCACTTACGAGTGGTAGATGATGACTGGCTGCTCGAGAACGACTAACGACAATGATAATGATCAGAGCAGCTGTCATATGAATAAGGAATGGAACCATTTGATGTACAAGTGAAATGTATTGAACAAGTTTTCTATGGTGAAATTGAATTTCTTGAACACACCATGGATGAGAATCCTCTGGATGAAGTATTAATTTATATTGATCAATGAGAAAATAGCAAGATCCAAAAAGTATAATAAAAGTAAGAATAGATAGAATAATTGCATTTGAAACTGTTTGAAATGAACGAAAGCGAATTGGAGTTGCAACAGCAACAGCGCGTCCAACTGTGACAAAAATCATCAACCAGAGACTGAAATAGTTTAATGGTAACATCAAATACGGTAGAATCTTGCAAAACATTTCATTTATACGATAATCAATGGTAATTTTTCGTGCAACGACTAGATATGCTACACGAGTAAATAGAAGGACGAGAACAAGTTGACTAATAATAGAACTCAAGAAGAGAAAAAAACCAATACTTGTTCCTCTAGCTTTTCTTCCGGAAAATGTAAAAAAAGTGAGACCATTAAAGACAATGCCTATTAATAGGAAAATTAGTGGACCTACGAAAGTAAGAAATCCTGATCGAGTCTTTTCGATAAGCATTTCCAAGGATATCGAAAAACGATTTAATGAAAATTGACAAAGATCTCCCGAAACACATTTCGGACAGATGCAAACAAAATCATTTCGATTTTGAAGATCACCTCGAAGACAAAGACCGTGATTAATACAATACGAACAAGTGATGCTATGTTGCCGATATGTCAGACATTCACTTCGATTTGTAATAATACTGCAATAACATACATAATTATCTGAATAGAAGCATGGAGAAAATTTTTCATCTTGACAATAACTATGATACAATTTGATGGAATGATGCTGATGAATATTATCCATAAGAAAGTGGCATTGTTGCAATTGCACATCAAGATCAATAATGATATCGAATAGATGATTATTCGTGCAATTGATATAGAGGATATTCAACACACTGGTCACAGAATCTATTTCAGGAGTAAACGTGTACAGTAAACCGACTTCGGGTACAAGTCCAGTTGTTTTTTTTCTTTTATCATAGGTATCCATCAAACGTTTTACTGGAAATTCTGTCCATGCTTCAATAAGGAATTGTTGTCGTAAACGGGGATAGGCAGATGATAATTTAAGTAATTGCACTAGAATTGGTTGCTCATTCGGCTTACTTCGATGTAACATTAAAAATGCTTGATATGAGAGGCATTGTGAGGAGTGGCACAGACATGTATATTGATTAGGTGGAAAAACTGAAAGTGCATAACATGTTTGGTTAGCTGTACAGATATTTGCTTGTTGACAGATGGTATTTTGAATATGACAATGTGGAAAAAGAAATGTATGAGGACAAACACAAACATCTAGATCACGAACAAGAGCGTCTGCAGAACATTCACTGTGTTCTAATAATTTTTCACAAGATGCTCCATACCACCCTCTTTGACATATGCACAGAGATTGCTCAGAATTCTCATTATCCACATAACAGGTACCATTATTCAAACATAGATTTTGAGAACATAACCAAGGAATGGTTCTATCAGGGAAACGTAATATCTTGACTAGACGAAAGACAGGTAAAAAATCTAGTGGAGTAATAAGATATTCCCAAAATGAAATAAATCGATTGCCATGATACGCTTCAAAGCGAACAGAATAAATACATCGAAGTCGTGGTCGCGAATATAGTAAATAAATCTGATACTTTTCAAAAAAATCTTGATCAATATCGGCGAATATCTGATGATCAATGATAATACTACGATTGCATACTAATAATACAAGAACATGAAAAACAAATGGTAGATCTGAACGGTGTCGCCGTTCAAGACGCACTACTACTGTGATTCGTCGTCGGTTGTATTGACATCGATGACCGTAGAAACTTGGTGGACAAAAACAATCTAATTCTGATCCATTTTGTGTCAAAAGATAAAATCCTCGATTACAAAATTCATGAATGAGTTTCTCATTCTTATTTGTCGTTGGCAGAATGAGTTCACGATTTTCCAATAAAAGAGCTTTTGGTACATAGCTATGACAAAACGAGACATATTCTGATGTACGTTGCACTTTATTGAATCGATACGGTACACTCGTATTTCTTGGACACCAGAGGAAATGCTCACCATTCGGACAAGTTTGGTTCCTATTACAAGATTGTTGTAAACATTTTCTACCACTTGAACAGGCAAACTCGTTCATCTTACATTGACCACGATCCCAAAAACAGATCAGTTCATCTGTCTGATCGAAACAATCAGTGAAACCATTACAGATTTTATGAGGTGCAATACATTTCGTCTGGTTATCACACATAAAACGATCTCCAAGCATTTGATGATCAGAACATGATAACAAATTTCGTTCGTCATATCCACCTAAACAATCAGTTTTCTCATCACCAATCTTATTATTATTAATGCATGGTCGATTGAACGTAGTATTCGATAGGAAATCGAATGTAATACAAAAATACTCTGTTGATTGATTGCACTTACTTTGCAACGTCCAACCAGTATTAGATCTGGAACAATTGCGTTCATCATCACCATTAGTACAGTCAAATTCTCCATCACAGATCCATGAACGATCAATACACTGACCTGTTTCGCGACATTGATACATATTCGAGCTGCACTTCCAATATGAACAATTTCGTTCATCATTTCCGTCCATTGTGTCCCATATTGAATCACAATGGCGTTGAAATAGTAATTGAATATCATTAACTTGATGATTTCGAAACATCTCGCATGCATAATCGTCTGGATACTCACAAAGGAACAAATTCCAATTGATACGCACCGAAATTTCATCGCTACCATCAATACATTCACGTATTTTGTTTCCTAATTGTTGATAACTAACAAATTGTCTTGATTCTTCTGTTATACAACGATATTGGTAAGGTTCAAGGATAGTCTGTTTTTGGTTAATTTCGTCGTCTCCTAATAGGCAATCGGTATAACCATCATTAATACGACGCTGAGATATCACTTGATCTGATTGATTGCATGTATAGGATGATCCTTTGTCTTCATTTGTTTGCCATACTTCATCACTAGAAATGTACAATGACACTTCGCAGTCTATCAATAAAAGCTGATCTAAACTAACCTGTCAGAAGGAATAACCGAGTAGCTGTTAGCTGCCTGACAAAACAGATAAGATATAGGAAAAAATGGATAAGATTCTAGTGTTTGAAACTGTTCAAAATCCATACAATGTTCATGATAAACCCATTGTCGTATTTTATTGCATATCATTGAACCTTGAAAACAGACAACATCTGCTGTTACTTTCGGCAGATTTAAATCGAAATTCTGTACCGTAAAATTATAAAACGAAACGATACGAGATTTATCGAAAAACATTTTCAGAACAGGAGAAAGCGTAGATTGTTCAGGATATTGGATACGATCAGGACAATGGTCAATGATCATGAGAAGTGCGGGTTTTCTTTGATATCCTCTTAGTAGATTCCGTAGATGAGTAGTACATAATGACATATTAGGTGGACCCACTGATTTCATGTTATATCGGCAGATTCCAGTGGGGAATGTTGTAAAGTCTCGTATGGTTTCACAATTATAGGTTAGATCCCGCAGATTGTCACACATAGTACGATGGTGTATTAGATTTGACCAATGAATACATTCACCATCACCACAAGAAAATTGATCCGTACGACATAGACGTTCATCGCATGCCCAAGTTGACTTCTTTGAACATCGTAAAAAAGGTGCATAAAGAAGCTGATTTTCTTGTTCATCACTCATATCCATACAATCAAAATCAGCATCAAAAAGAAATTCAGTTGGAATACACATTCCATTTCGACACTGATATTCATCTTTTTCGCAATGATTAAATTCAAGTAAGTAACAATTAGTTTCATCAGCCCCATCATCACATTGAGGAATCCCATCACATATCTGTCGCCATTCAAGACAGAGTAAACCAGTATTACATTGTATTTCATCGATTAAACAAGTAATAATTTCGTTGAGACGGTCTTTAATTCGAGATATTTGATTTTCAATAATCTGACCAATAGTTGAGATTCCTGACGGTTGTTCATACTGACAAGAAGATCCAATTCGATTCCGTGTGCAATTACAAACAAACATTTCCGTCATATCGACAGAGGAGTTTTTATTCAGATAAGCTGCATATTGTTCAATGTCATCGAATGGAATATTCCAACTAAATAAAGCGTCTGTAGTAACCAACATCGACTTCAGTATAGAAAATGACCATAATTTTCCATCTATACAAGGCTTTGTTTGATGAGTATCAATACGACGACAGAATAAACGTTTGTCATAGAGAACGCAGTCGTAATCCTGTATTCCGTAGTTCTTTCGAGTACGATAGAAAAGCCACTCGAAATTTATAGCACCAAGAGTAGATGAAATGAGACAGAAAAGAAACCAATAATTCATTATCGAAGAAAATGAATCTTCTTTATATATATTGATAGTATATGCTAATTCTCGCCAATGACATAAGAACGTTCATCATTCTCTGTTATTTTAGCAGGTTTGTTTTGTTAGCCGCGCTCTCAGGTTTTTCTACGCAGAACGAATTAAATGTGAACACATAGAGTATTGATCTCTAGACCTTCAGTTCATGAACTGAACAGCTAATCCAGCTGGACTGTGTTCTCAATTAGTAGTGATGTAACAAGTCACCTTTATGTCTCCTTTATTTCTTATTCTTCATTTTTCGCTATTTTCTCGATTTTAAACTTGATAATTTTAATTCTTATTTATTCATTAATGAATCAATTCTAAGTGTATTAAATTAATTTTTACATTATCTTTTCAATTCAAAATTTGATAAATTATCTTTTTTAAATTAATTAGTAGGTCCAAACTATGCTTAATTTATATTTCATTACTTATTTTCTCGATATGTACGATTAAAATTTTCATAAAATAATTATTTATTTACTTTATCACTCACCGAACTCAGAACAATATAAACCAAGTTTTATTACCTCTTCATCATACATAGTTAATGTTGAGAGTTTGTTGGAATGCATAAATTTATAGAATACGAAGTGAGATTGGAAAAAATTCAATAAAAAGACGTGGAGAAATTGTCCACATATTCTTGACAGGATTCTCAATATAACTGATTAAAAATTTGACAGAATTCTCAACATAACTGATTAAAACCATCTTGACAGATTCCTCAATATAACTGATTAACAATTTTGACAGGATTCCCAATATAACTGATTAAAAATCTTGACAGGATCATCAATATACCTGATTAAAAATTTTGACAGGATCTTGAAAACTAACATTTGATCTCGGAACCTACGAAAGTCTTATCTAAATCTTTGTATTTTCTCATCGAGATCCTGATCATATTTATATTACATTCTCAAAATTCGCAACGTTTATTCTTAAAGAGTTCTGAGCATAATCTTGATCAAATCTTGGCAAGATTTTCTTCTTTAAGATTTAGAGTTATCTCATTTTAATTTTGAAAAGATCCTAGATTGATATAACTAAAATTCCTGATAGAATTGGCGGAGCAGGTTTTGGAGCATATCTTAACTAAAATTTTCTGGAATCTTGATTAACCCTTCGGTGGTGTTTGTGGGCCCAAGAGACCCACAACAGTGGTTTTTTGTTTTTTTCTACTCTAAGATCTATGCAAATCGAAGCGATCTTTTCGCTAATCGTTAGTCTTCTAATGATACATAAGAACCATATAAAATTTCTTGCAAAACTATCAGCAGTGAAAAACTAGAGCGTGGGTCCCTTCGAACCCCCTGACAACATTTGTGTGATATAGATGATTTTAATTCGTATTACGTATGCCCTCTATTGTTTCGAAGGTCTATCTATTGAAGATCAATTAGTGTGTTGCTGCCAGTAAGGAATAATGTGTTTCTCTATCCTTATTTATCTATCGAAATATTTTCACCATCCTCTTAACTTTTACTCACGACAATCGTAATCCTTTTTTTTTCTTAAAAAATCAGTATCTTACGTATACTACAAGCGTATCAATGCATCAGTGACTGAAAAGAAATCATGATATAGACCTTGATCTATCTTATATAGCACAATACAGATGAAATTTCACGTTTTCCTTATGTATTTACATGTGGGTCCACTTCTACCCACATATATCATTCGTGTGACAAAAAGCGTACACCACCGGAGGGTTAAATCCTTTCAGTAGTTTTTGTTAGGATCTTGAATAAAATCTAAACTAAATCCTTGCAGGATTTCAGGATATCCATTCACGAGAAATGCAGACTATGAATAGAAAAAATAGTGGCCTTCAAAGACCTTACCCAGATCCTTATATTTTCTTTGAAAAATCCTGATTAGGATTGGTCTTCTCTTGTAAGGCTGAAAACATTCATTCCGAAAAGGTTCCGAAGAAGTTTCTAATAGGAATCATCCGGCATAAATAAGTTTTGTTTTATGACTGATCTTTTTATTTTCCTACCAAGATCATAGTCTGATCTATCAAGGATCTTGGCAAGATTTTGAAAGGAATATTTAGTCCACATCTTGATGGAAACCTAATAGAATCTTTTCAGAAATATTTCTTTACAATCTATTCAGAATTCTTTACAAGATCTAGGCGAAAACTTGTCACGATTCTTCATTATCAGTTCAGAAAAATATCTGAGAAGGATCTTGAAAAAATCTTGAATAGGATCCTTTATTTTTCTTTGAGAAAAATATCTTGACAGGAACTTGAACCAATCCTACATAGGATCTTGTTTTACTTTAAGATATCTTTGCAACAGGATCCTGAAAGATTCTTCCATGTTTTCTCAAGAAATGTACAGAATTGAGACTATGGATCGATATATATGTAAAACTATTTTAATTATCTATTATTTTTACTCTTAGTCATGACATAATGCACGTAAATATTTCACTAATTTTTCACCGGTTATTTCCCTTTCACAATTTGGCCAACAGTCTGATATATCCGGAATTCCAAGACTTATTGAATATTTTCTCATTGCATATTGATCTTTTTCTATTGTCATATTTCTTGCTATGGACATATTAAAGACAAATAATTCTTGACGTATATTCGACAGCCAATCATTTGTACATTTGTCTGTATGATAAAAATATTTATTTAAATCACTTTTGTAACCATGTAAGATGAAATCATTTATAAATGGTACTGCAAAATCTCTTGAAAATCCATGACCACGTCTAAGCAAATGAACATGTTTAAATATTCGTTGTCCACCAATTGCACATCTACAACAACGAAGATATTTATAATAATTCCATTCATTTGTTGATTGTAAATATTTTGAATAACATTTTTCTTGAGATGCACTATCTTTACCTATCATTTCTAAAAATACCATATGTAAAGCACCATTATCATGATTATGATATCCTGTTTTAGGTAATTTTGAATAAAAATTAACCCATACAGATAAATATTTATGTGACCATACATGATTTTTAATTAAGTATACACCTGCCGTTATTTCACCAGTATAAAATCTTTCATAATGAATTACATGAATATTTTTATCATTTGGAATATATTCTTCGATCAATTTTGAACTATTAACAATAAAATTATCTCCATCTAATACAAGTAACCAATGAAGATTTGACATTGATATCATATAATTTCTGACAACACAATGTTTTTGAAAAAAAAAATTATTGAAATGAGAACAAACTGAAATATCTTTTGGATTTAATATTATAAATGTATATCCATGTTGTTTTGCATAACATTCTAGATTTTTACCATATTGTTTATATTGCTGTTGTGCTTTTGCGTCCGATACAACTATAATACCAATATTTAATTTCTTCGTTGCTGATGTAATTGTAGCATTCGTATCAAAAATAGAAGTGCTTTCTTTAATGTTTGTATATAGGAAGATGGTATTCGGTATGGAATAATCAATTTTTTTATACAATAAAAGAACGCATAAGCTTGATATAATAGTCAATAGTATATATTTTCTTTTCTTTGAAATAAACGAGAATTGATCCACCATTAGAAGTATTTAATTGAAAGGTGCCATGATCTATGCTTTGAATACTTTAATTAGACTGATAATTTTAAGAAATTTCAATCTGAAGTAATAATATTACATGGTTTATTTAAACTGTGCATTCATCAATCATATTAGATCACCGAGATAAATATTTGTAAAAACTTGCCGTCAAAAAGGAACTATTTTTTAACTAGACGATACGTTAATAAAGTCAAAAATGCGAAGCATTTACTCAAGGAATCAATATTACAAGCGGAAAAATCACCCAAAAAGTAATAATGTATAGAAATACAATACAAGGTTGTAATTTTTTTTCTTGAGAACTATTTTATACTTATTGCAATACTTACCAAATATTTGATTACCTTAATAAATACAATAAAGAACACGTCGTCAAAACTCGTCCAACTATAACTTGTAATCTTATTTTTCTTTCCTTCAACAGCGTTTTATTACTCGAACTGGTAGTAGACTGGTTGCAATAGGAAGAAAAAATAATGATTTGCATGGCCGCTTTTATAAAAGTAGTGGCATTGTAAAAATCGGCTTTTTATTTCTTTTTTTCTTCTTCTCTCGCTGGAAATGTAATAATATTTAGTGAAGCTTCATATATTAACGAACAGTGAATACGTTAAAATAGGTAAAGGAAATAAAACATTCATGTCCCGTTCTCTTTTTAAACAGTAGTATTCACTCAGTTCTTTTGCAAAAAAGAATGACAAATTTTTCTCAGTCAGAGAAAAGAAAAGATTTTCTTTTTCTGTTGGCTCTTTGTCAATAAAATACCTTTCATGAATCCATAGATGAACAGCGTGCATTGGAAACTGATGCTGAAATAAAAAAAAGATTGACTTGTGTGTCTTTCTTTTACAATTAAAACGAATTCTTCATTTATTTGATCATAGATAAGTTTAATTCTATTCAAGTTTAGAAGAATTTCTACGTAATATATTTTAATACAGATGAATAAACTATTCTTTGCATTACAACTTTGTACGTTTGAATTCTTTTATTAAAGTCGTAAAACATATGTCAAGAAATTCTCTTGATATACAATCTCAGTAAAAAAATCTCATCTCTAAGTCATCAAATGTGTGAGCATCTGTTCTTCATTCACACTCGTATTGATCCTCATACATACTTTACCGTTCTGTTCAGTATATAACGACAATCAGTAACAGAATGAAAAAATAACGAGTGAGTGACTGACTACTATTTCTTTCGTTTCTGATAATTTCTGAGAGCACCAGCGTGTTCAACAGTATCATCTTTTCAGGTTTGTAATAACATTTTTCTTCACATCATAGTTTAAAATAATGGAGAAAAAAAGTAATTAAAGTACAACTATCTCCATCCTATAGTATTTTCATGAGTCATTCTTTTAATATGGTATAAAATAACAAACTGGAAGAACAGACGATAAGCTAGGATGAATTGTAAATATTAAAAATTTGATTTAGAGAGTTGGGGTACATATGTCTTGACCTTTTCTGTTATGACTGTGTCACACTTTTTGTTAAAAAAAACGCGATTCTATGTCTTCGATTAAAATAAACGATTGCATTTTTAGGAGAATACTCAAGAATGTTTACGGAACAGCTTACGCATGAATACTCGACTCGTGACATACTTTGTAAAGAAGTGGAACAAATCTTCACGCCGATCAGGGTACACTCAACTAAATGGCGGGAATTTTGCACGTCGCTCATCACCACCCTTAGCTTTATGCATCATTAAACATTTCTTCCGATTTTACAACTGTTTTTTTGTTTACTTCTGTGAATTGGCTATTAAATTCTACTTTTCATCGTTCTACTTTGTTTTGTCCTATTTCTCTATCCCTGCTATTATTTCGCATCTCGTTATTTACTTGTTTGCTTTTCTCATCAACAATAGAACTTCATTTTTTTCTTTTATTTTTATTTCTCAATTTTTTATTTAACAAAAATTTCATTCACAAAATTATTTTAAATTTTTCAATCCGATGATTTCCCCAATCAGCTACATAAAGATTTCCTTCATCATCAAAACATAAACCACAGGGACAATCCAATTGATTTCCTCTCACTTTTCCACCAATAATAATTTCACCTTCATCATTTCCTTCACACCAACACATTACTCGATTATTTCCAAAATCTGCCACATAGATTTGACCAAAACCATCAACAATTACTCCTGCCGGTAGAGACAATTGATTGAGATTTCTTCCTTGACCATTCCCTCCAGCCACAACTTTTCCTTCTTTTGCGTCTTTTCTCCATTTCATTACACGATGATTGAACCAATCTGACACATAAATAGATTGATCTTCATCAACAAAGATAAAAGTAGGAGCATGGAGTTGATTCAATTGATTTCCTTTGTCATTTCCACCTACCACTACAACTCCTTCATTATTATATTCTCCCATTTTCCATCGTCTCACTTCATTCTTCTCATTATCAGAAACATAAAGAAATCCATTTTTATCCGTCGCCAAACCGTAACAGTGAATATTGTCAATGAGAATTTGTTGATTTTGATTCAACCAGCGAATCACTCGGCTGTTCCCATTATCGGCAATGATGATCGAATGATTTTGTTGATCAACAATCACATTTGTCGGACAATTCAATTGATCCATTCCCTTTCCTTCTTTATTTCCACCTGCAGCAATTTGTCCTTCCTTTGTATTATATTTCCATTCAATAATACGATGATTCAGATAATCAGCAATGAAAATATTTTTGTTTTTATCAATAAAAATTCCATGAGGGCGATTAACTTGATTTAATTTTTGACCTTGCCCCTTTCCAGCAGCCACAGTAGTAGCATTTTGTTTCCATTTGTTGAGTTTTGATTCTAAAAAATAATGAAAACAAAAGATTTTAATGAAAAGACGAAGAGGGAGAAACATTGTTTTTCATCGAAGAAAAAAGAAAAAATTAATTTGCAATGAAAATTTGGTATTATTTTTCGTTAATTTTTAATTTTGAATGAAATAATAAATTTTAATTTGATTTGCAGGTTTTTTTCGAATCGAAATTTTGAAGAGAAAGAATTTTTATTGAAAGATAATTTATTTGTGAAACAATTTGAATAATATTTAATTTTGAAAAGAAAAGAAAAATTGAAAATGATAAAAGATATTGTTGATTTATTTTTTATTAAATAAAAATTTGAACAAACGAAATATTTGCCAATTTTTTTATCGTTTTCATCACTATTTTTCTTTGTTTTTAGTTTTTTGACATAAACTCATAGAAATAAAAATAATTCTTTTGGAAATAATTTCTTAAAAACTTACTTTTTGATAAAACAATAGAGATTTCATTAATAAATGATTGTGACTTTTGTTGAATAGACATATTCGATGGATTATTTAATTCTTCTGTAATTTTTCTTAGTTGATTTCTTAAATAATTTAAATTAAGTTCATTAAATTCATTTTCTTTATGAATTTGCTTTATTTGTTCATTTAAATCATTAAATTTCTTTTCAATATCATCAATAAATGTTTGTGATGATTTAATAACAATTTCTCTACAATCTTTTGCTTTTTGTTGAATTTTTTGAATTGAATTTGTTTCCCATTGATTGATTTGTTTTATTAATGAATGATTTTGTGAATTTTGTTTTTGTTCATTAATTATTTATTTAAATTGATTATAATCATTAATAATATGATTTAATTCTTCATTTAAGTTTTGTTGATGTTCTGTTAAATGTGTTAAACAAAATTGTTTTGAACATCCTCTACAAGAATATGTTATTTTTTCTTTATTACATGTAAAACATTGTATTTTGTTATTTGCCATTGCCATGTCTTCGAATAGATGTTTATAGAAGAAATGAATATCTCCTTATCTACTTTTATAAATATAAACTTATATATAATGACTCATTGATAATAAAAACATTGCACGGTAGTAAAAGAATGGTGTTGTGTCAACAATTACTAAATGTAACAAAATTTTACTGTGCAGATGAATGGTATATTTACATCTATTCACTTTCAGTATGTTTACCTTCATCCCATGTCCTTGTTCTTCGTTACTCTAATAAAGATCATAAATCAAACGCCTTTGTCGAACTATACCTTTTCTTTTGCTCTTACAAGTTGTTGATTATTCGTTGTTTTATTAAAGAAAAATTGAATCAAAACTGCTCGTTTCTCGTTTATTAAATAATCATAAATAAAATGAAGCAAAAGAGTATTTAGTATTTAATCAATCTTAGATCATATCTATATAGTATAATTAAAAATGAAAATAAAGTTTGATATATTTTTTTTATTGATGAACTTTAAATTGTTTGTGATTATGTTTTTTTCTGTTGAATTTTCTAAATATTTTTGATTTTGATTGATTATCGCCGTCAACAATAGTAATTCTTCGTGTATCCTTAGTTTCATTATTATGTTTTAATTGTACAATAAAGCCATCATTTAATAGTTTTTGATAATAATTATCTTCTGTTTTTCTTAATTGTTTACCATCAGATATTGTTGTTAATGCACGACGATTAAATGTAACAATACTTTTATATGTTCCATGATGTTGATCTATGGTTTCAATAATAATACCATCATCTTTTGTGATAGGATATCTGTCTGTTTGACGAAGCCATATTAATTCTGGTTTAGGATTTCCTGCATATGAACATTCAATTGTTGATTGTTCATTCGTTGTATTAACACGTTGTTTTTTATCACATCTGATAAAACGTGGAGTAAATAAGACTTGAAGAGTTTTTATTGCATGTCGTTCACTATTACCTATTGAATAATAAAAAAAAATTATTTCTTTCTCTTTTATATTAGTTTTGTTTTCAGAACAAACCTTGAATAATTATACATTTTAATGTTGTATTATGCCATTCAAATGTTGGTGTAACAGTTATTTCCCAAGAAAATTTTTGTGGAATTGTATTACTATTCGGTATTACAGCTTTACCATCATCATTAAGTTTATGCTGATCACGAAAAATCTGATAACTAACATATGGATAAAAATCATCAGCTGTACATTTTAATGTTGTTTTAGCATTTTCTTGTATTGGCCAACCAGGTTCAATATGCCATTTTGGATCTGTTAATCTCATTCGGTAAGTTCTTTTGTTTTCTTTTCTAATTCGTCTTCACAATCAACACAAGTACATTCATATCGAGATGTATCTTGAAATAAAATTTGTCGTATACGTAAATGATTTTTTTTAACATATTCTATACGTTTATTTTTATTTTGTTTAAATATATCTAATGCATCATCTGGTGGTGCATTTAATAATGATCTTGATATTGGTGTACGTTTACCACTTTTTATATCAACATGCCATAATTGTGGTGATTCTGTATGATCATTTGGATTAAGTAATTCACAAAGAATTTCAACCACATGACCCTCTGTATAATATTTTTCATCGGGAGTAAATGTTAATTCTAATGTTGGCTTAGCTGATTGTATTGGAAGAATGAGAATAGTTAGAAATATAATTGATACGAAAAACATCTTGTATTCTTTCGTCTCAAATAAATACCTGTATAATACTCTTCTTTTCGAGCACATCTAATATATAGATTAGTAAAGAAAAGACTTTGGGCTATAGCATTCAATGATAACACAATTTTCATCTGTTATTTCACATCTACCTTTATACACATATGTTTATAATTAAATTCAAGATTAATAGTTATAATCACACGGTTCGATGATAATAAAGAATTGTTTTTTTTGTTTTCTTTATTGCCGACACTATCTCGATTAACAAATAGATGAGATGAGGAAGATCAAATTTAAAACAACAAAAACATATACTACAAGGAAAATTAAAATTATACTTTTTCCTACCAATGGATGTATTTGTACTGTTCTTAAGAAAAAAAGCACATATTCAAGTCAGATGAAAAAAGCTCTAACTGGCAAAAGTAACAAACTTAGAATATGAACGACTCTTCGTTTATCTAGAGAAAATTTTGCAAATTTTATAATAATCACAATTTGTGTATATAGAAATATTAGTTTCAAATAAATTAATGTTCTATTTGATCGAATGAGTATATACAAGTGGAAAGCAAATCCTAACAGTGATACAATTAATAAGATTCAGTATATTCACAGCAAGCTCTTGAATTTTTCAAACATAATCAAGCTATCTTGTTTGAAATTTTCTCAGATGTACTATTATAATATCGTACGTATATCTGTGTATGCTATCGACTAAACAAGTTTGAAATTAGAAGATCCTCTCCCATTTTGGCGATCACTAATTATTTTTCTGATAAAAATCAATGGAAGAAAATTGTTTGTATAGTATGACAAATAGATATATTCAATTCAATAACTTCCATTTGGTTGAAATGTTGCATATGTTTCTTCACCAGTTGTTTCTTTTGTGAAATTATCGGCACGTGTCATCTTGAGGGTGTGGATGTGAAGGAGAAAATAACTCTCATCCACATCCACACCTTCAAGAGATTCTCAGCCATACTGCTATAGACTTTATTTGTCGGATAATAATAAATTTACACAAGAATAACTTAAATTGCTTAATCTTCGAGATATGTAGTGTATTTTTGAGTGGGAGATTTCTTACAATTGTTCTTAAAGTGTGAAATTATTTCGATTTAATTTAATTATTCTATTGAATATTTAAATATTTGGTTCCCAATATTAGAAGAATTTATATGTAACATATCTTAATGAAGGTGAATAAACTACTCTTTGGATTACGACTTTATACGTTTGAATTCTTTTATTAAAGTCGTAAAAGATATATCAAGATATCCTCTTGACCCATTGAAATAGTATATACAATCTCAATAAAAAAATCTCATCTCTAAATCATTGAATGTGTGAGCATCTGTTCTTCATTCACATACACTTTTTCATTCTGTTACTGATTGTTGTTATCTATCAGATGAAAATTTTCTATTCAGTAAATAACGACAATCGATAACAGAACGAAAAAGAAAATGACGAGCTACTGACTGACTACTATTTCTTTCATTTCTAATGATTTCTAAGAGCATCAGCGTGTTCAACAGTATGGTCATTTCAGGTTTGTAATAACAGTTTTCTTTCTTGATTTGTATTTTGAAATTGAACTTTCATATTGTATCTATCTCTAAAAGTGAATACATTAAAAACTAGTTTTTTTCTTCACATCGTAGTTTAAGATAATGAAAACAAAACTAGATTTTATGTGCATTTGCAGAAAAAGAATGAAAAATATTTGTGCCAATCACTTATACAACTAATAATGATTCGTCTTCAATTACAATAAATGATTATATTTTTAGGAGGATATTTAAGAATGTTTACGGAACAGCTTCCGCATGAATACTCGACTCATGGCTAACTTTGCAAAGAAATGGAAAATATCTTCACGCCAGCCAATAAACAGTTCATTAAACGGCGGAAATTTTGCAAGTTGCTGATCACCACCACTAGCTGTATACATAATTAAAGATATCTTCTCAAGTTACCGCTGTTTTTTTCTTCACATCTGTAAATGGATTATGTTGCAGATCATCGACTTTATGTTTCGTTTTTGCCCTATTTGTCTCTCTCTGCTATATTACGTCGCTTATTTGCATCGTTTTCATGTTTGCTTTTCTTATCACCAATAAACTACAGAATATTATTAATAAAACTTTGCTGCAATCTGATTCATTGGAACAGAGAAACTTAAAGCATGAAATCATTGTCATAAAACACATTCTCTCAGAAAAGAGAACCATGGCAGCATAGGGTGTGGGTGGATAAAAAAGAGACACCCACGCTAATAGTAAACTTGTTGTTCTCTGTAATATTTCTGATTTGAATTCTGACAGGATCCTCGAAAACCGTGGGTTCACTTATCTTCCAGGATTTAAGCATTTCCTCAGGAAAAAACCGGTGAATCCTTTCAAGATCCTTGTCAATTCCTATACAGATCGTCTAAATACATATCAAGGATTTTCCCTAGGGATGTGTCTTATTAACGAATCTACTACAAATAATGTTGGGGCAACTTTTACTGACCATTTCGGATTACAGACATTAGTATAATCATATTGAATATCATTCTTCTATTTCGTTCTTATTCATTGTAACTCATTTGATTATTTTATCTGTTACTTATTCATCCATTTTATTCAACATATGAATGTCGCTAGAGAAATAGACAAATAATTCAAGTCATTTAAGTCATTACAAGATCAATTTCAGTCATTGATTTAGTTTACAAAAACAATATTTTATATTCTCATTTGTCATATATTATTCATTTCAAGGGGAAAAAAGCGTATTCTTTCTATTCGGGATACGGTAAAAATCCATACAATTCAGAGGATACAATGGGGATACACAGGATACATTGGAAATCCGAAGGATCTAGGATAGGGTGTGAGGGTGGATAGGTTAATGTTATATTCACCTCACACACCCACACCCTCAAGATTGTATTCACTGATGATTGTGAAATGAAAGAGAAAAAATACATATGGAGTAGACAGGTTGGATCATACAGTATACCAATACAATAAAGATGCAGAATCTATTCGTGTGTACGAATAATTACAGATTTAACCGTTCAAACATCAGATTTGATACTTCCACAATACAGACAGACAGACAGAAATCGAGCAAAACTACAAACATCATAATACGAGTATAGAAACTTTGATTGCTCATTTTAGAATTATTTTATCTGTATACTAAATTACTTAATAATAAGTATTCTTACTTTCCAAACAAATTATTGTTGATAATAATCATATCAACGAGAGACATCTTTTTATCGCTGGATTCATTGTATTACCTCATATAACAATCAGACTAGCCGGGTCGGAGTAATTGGCCGAAGAAGGAATAAACGGCCGAATCGATCGAAGACGCTGATTAGCTGTTGCGGCAAACTCGTTTAACCTATAACAGTCTAATATATATATCGATATATATATATGTATATCGATAAATGTACAAAGATTTCGGAGTTAAGAGAACTTTCCTAATGACTTTTAAAATAAAAGCAAAAATATTTTTAATTCATTAATAACTACCTTAAAATTTTAGATGTAAAAGCCTTTTAAAATTAAATAGTTTCTATTGTATAATTTACATTTTTCTGAGTCATAATGACTGAAACAACTTCATATCGATGTAAGCCGTTTTTTAAGACATTCCATTATGCTTTTGTTCTCTATTTAGCTACAAATTCATCAAAAAAGAAATCGAGTATTAAAGAATTGATTCATGCATTAAAAAATGGTGAGAAATTTGATTGTTTACCTGATGTATTTCAGAGTGGTGCACTTTATCGTCTTGCATTATGTTCAAATACTCAAAGGTAAGTTTTATTTTGTTGATAATTTCATTACACATTTTTTCTTTGATTAGATGAGTACAAGTTAGATCCTTTTCTATGCAAAAACACAGGCACAATACCATATCCAAAAAATAATCCTGAATTTATCAAAATTTATTATTCATGCATTAATGCTGAGGAGAAAAAAGAAGGTCGATGTGTGAAACATGTTTATATATCTAAAACAAATCTTTTGGATGTCCTTGTTTATTATCAAGGTAAAAATTTAATTTTTCAAGATCGAGCATTATTTAAAGTTAGGCGAAGTGGAAAGATCAAACTTTACACTGATACTTCGCACACACCCAGGACGATGGTTCCTGAAGCAGGATTCTATGAACTTTCCTCTCGGTCCCAGCCGAAACTAGATAAATTCGGTCACCGGATCCGTTCAACGAAAATACTGCTTCCATGAAATCTCCGGAATACCATGGAACCGGCCGTGTGCGTGTCTAGCTACTATAATATTGTATACACTATTAATAAGATTTGTTTTCTCTAGCATTGGTTCTAACTAAAACAAAATCATATGCTGCACGACCAAAAACCAAAGAAATGTTACATAAGAAATCACAAGGTAGGTAAAATTCTCAATTTACTTTATATAAGATTATCATTTAATTTAGATCGTACTGATTTTAATCTATTTGATAGTAAACAATGATCTCGATCAAGATTATGCAAAGAAAAATAATTTCGGTTATTTTGCTGAATTTGTCTATGAAAAATTATATCGTGATATGTGCAATGAATTGAAGCGGTCAGATGGTAAAAAGAAAAAAAATGCGTATCCCAATAAATGCATTCATTAATATAATCTCTTTGTTTTGGTATTTTTTTGTATATGATTATGTTCAATATTTTATTTTTTATTTGCCTTTGATATTAGTTAAACTACTTGATTGTAACTCATTGTTTCTTGATTTTGTCGTGTTAAACAGATATGTTGTATTACAAAAAAATCTGATAATATGTAAGGAATTCTCTTGTTTTCGGCAATAAATCCATTATATATGTGCATTTGATGTGATGCCAAGAATAAAGCATGAAAATTACACATATCCTATATACTCAGTATAAGCCGCCGCGAAGCCAGATTGAGGTTCATAGTTATCCAGCTCTGACATCACATATACGTCGTTATTTCGTCTCCTTTTTGTACACATACGATTATGTTGCATAAGGACAATTTGTCTTCTGATGACATAGTAGTATGATCTGATGCAATGCGCGTTCTGTTTTACTGTAAGCATTGAAAATAAGCAAAAACAAATGAAATGTCCCAGCCAAGAATCGAACTTGGATTACACGATCTTCAGTCGTATGTCCTCACCATTAGACCACCGGGACATGTCTCATTTTTTTATTCCTCATTATCATTATTATTTTTCTCATTTTCAAAACAGTTCTTGTGTTGTATTCTTTTTATTCATGTTATTTCAAAAATCAAATTTCCCAAAATGAAATTGAAAAGTTGTTGAAGTTACAAAGAGTAAAAATTTGATCGTGAGAGTGTTGAAAAGTAGGTGTCAGCTCGATGCATTAGTGTGAGGTATGTTTGTGATTATTAATTTTAATTTGATAACATTCATTCCTTTATTCATTATTAAATGACAGAAGTCTTTTAGCAGCAACGATATTATTTCGATATGTTGATATTTCCGAATCATCGTTACATAATATCTTTAATGCAAAATTTATTGCTTTTTCATAATTTTCCAGAGCCATCTGATAATTTGATGAAAACATATAAGCAGTACCAATACTGCTATAAATATCCGCAATATCTATATAAGAAGGTGTTAGTACGTTCGTATCAAGTGCTATTTGTAATGATTTTCGAAAATATTTAAGTGCCAGTTTGCATTTATGAGATCGAGCGTAAATACCAGCCATATTATTATAAACTTTCGAAAGTAAGCTCACATCTGATGATTCTTGATTTCTATGTTCATACCATGCTTTTTTGTAAAAGTTTAATGCTTTTTTAAGCTCAAATTTATCATCGTAAACCCATGCAATATGATAATAGATTACACTTAAGTCTTTTTTTTGTTTTATATGAATAACTAATGCTTTTTTAAAATAGATCAATGCTTTTGAATAGTAGCGTTTTGTGTGATAGATCAAACCCATTCTATTATACATATCATCGATAATTGAATCAATGTTTGATGGAAATTTCAAAGCATTTGTAAAATTTTCAAGTGCTTGATCAAGATCGTTTTTATCGTTGTAAATCAATCCGATTTGATAATACAACGATCCTAATTCTCGATTATCATTCGTGATATATGTCAATGCTTTTTGATAAAAAATTAAAGCGTTTTGATCATCTTGTTTACTATGATATAATGAACCGATGCTGATACAGGTGGATGTTAAATAGGTTGAATTCGATTTCACTTGTAAGTTGAAAGCTTCGATGAGATATGACAATGCTTTATCGATGTCACCTTGTTTAGTATAGACAAATCCTATTGTGCTTAATGTTTCTTCAATTAAAGAGTGATCAATTGTTAAATGTTGTTTTTTTATATCTAGTGATTTTTCGAAATGAACGAGTGCTGTAGTAAAATCATGATTCTTTTCGTAAACTTCTCCAAGACCATAATATATATCTGCTAAATCTAAACTGACACTTGATTTATCAAATTTTAACTCGAATTTTAGAGCTTTTTTAAAATATTTCATTGCTAATTTCATATTTAATTTATTTTGATAAGCAGTGGCCATATTATAATAAACAATTCCTAATAATTTCTTGTTATTTGTCATTGATAATGTTAATGTAAGAGCTTTTTTAAAATATTTTAATGCTATCATGTATTTTTCTTGTCCTTTAAATAACTTGCCAATGTTACAATATGATAAAGCTGTGTCTGCTTGTACTCTTGCGTTGGATAATAAACTACATCGAATTTTAAGAGCTTTCTTATGATTGATTAAAGCGGATGTAAAATCACCGAGATCATTGAAACATTCTCCGATATTATTGTAAATGGCGGCTAAATCTATATGATTTGAAGGTAAACATTTTAATAATATATCTAATGCTTTTTGGTAACATTCCAATCCTTTCTTATGATCATTCTTGTAATCATATACTTGACCAAGATTACTATAACTAATTGCTAATGCTTGATGATCATTTGGTAAAGATTTCAATCTAATTTCGAGTCCCTTCTCAAGATATATTTGAGCTTTTTTAATATTTTGAATCGATAGATAGACTTCTCCAATATTGTTATATTCATTCGCTAAATTCGGATGAATTTCCGAATAAAATCTTCTTTTGATTACTAAAGCTTTTCTGTGATATTTTAAAGCTAATTTTTTCTTTCCTATGTGATTATAAACATTACCTAAATGATTGTATGTTGTGGCAAAATGAAATTTATAGTATGGGTGATGTTTTCGTCGAATTTGAAGTGTTTTCCGATGAAATTTTAATGCTTGAGAATAATTACCTAATTCTTCGTAAACATATCCAATATCATTATATATAGCAGCAAGCTGAATAAAATCATATGGTATTAATAGTTTTTGTAATTTGAGCGCTTGTTTATGATTTTTTAAAGCTTTTAAATATTCACCCTTTTCTCTATATATTCCTCCAAGATCATTTTTAATTGTTATCACATCCGGATGGTCAGTCGGTAATTCATCAAATAATAGAGTATAAAATTCTTCTGCTTTATTTAGATCACCCATTTCAAACAGAAATTTTGCCAATGTTAAAATATCTGTTGTTTCATCCATTTCATATTTTAAGTCGTCTATTAATTCATCTTTTATCAAATTGATTTCATCTTCACATAATATTAATTTAACAAACCAAATATCATCAGTAAATGGTTCGACTAATTCAATTCGAAATATAGTACCAATCGTAAATAGAACTTCATTTTCAGTTTTTAAATGACTATATTTTTGTATATTAACAAACGGTTGTTTTGATAATTTAACAGGACATTCAATTTCAAATAGAACTGATTCAATCAATGGTCGACCAGTTCCATTACCAGCAAAATCTACTGCAACAGCAGATGAGAGACTTGTCGATATAAAGCTATTCATTGCTACTCGACCTTTAATATTATCTTTCAATTTGTTTAATTCAGCTACAGTCAATCCTTGTCCACGATAAACAGTTAAAGCTTTAGTCTTATCTAATGATTGAATATATTCAATATGTAAATTTTTTAGACGATTATGGAGATCAACAAGAACAAAACGAAATTGAAATATAATTGAAATATCTCGTGTTCTCAATGCTCGATTTAATAAACGATAAAGAAATGCATCACGTGTATACCATTCAATAACATTATCTGCATTATAAGTATTTTCAAATTCTTGTATTCTATTTAATTCAATTTTATCTTCTCGATATTCATGTCGACATTGATTGAGAAGATCTCGACGTGAAATAGATGTTAATGGCATACGATTTAATATCTCAATTAATAATTGATACCACATAAACAATGTTTTTTCTTCATCTAAATTACGCATTGAAGTTTCTTCACTTGACTGTTTTGCTGGTATTATTGATATTGGAATCATTTTTGTATTAAATTCTACATCTTCATTCAATTTTGTCAAAAGTTCTTGTTTATTAATAAAAATACCTCGTATTTTATTTGAATATAATTTAATCCGTTCTTCATGTTTTTCTTTGTCTTTACAGAATATATAAATATGGATAATATTTGTTTCATTATGAATAAATGGTAAAATCTTTTTACAATATGAACCAGGCAATATAAAAAGAATATTTCTTGATGTATTTTGGAAAGATAGTAAGTAGTTTATACATGAATTAATATTGGAAATTTTTTTTAAATAATTTCCAATAGAATGTAAACGACCTTTCCTTTTGAGATAATCACCATTCTTTGGATCAAACCAAACAACAGTTAGACTCTGAATAGGATTGCTTTTGGCTAATGTGTTTGATAGTTTTATTTTCTTTGGTATAGAATCATCAAGGGATAATTTTTGTTTACGCTTCTTCTTCATCAAAGACGAATTATTCGATACATGTTCTATTTTTTTTACCATTGTCAACTTCACGTTAAACTAAAGCACCACATTCATAAAAAATAACATTATATATTGTTTTTGAGTCTAAAAATAGTGAATACAGAATTTTTTTCTGTTGACAGAAAGGAAGTAGAGGAAGAAAAAGTTTTATATTACTTTAATTCTTTTCTTCTTCTACAAAAATATACATGAAGAATGTTATTCAAAATAAGCAACAAGAAGCAGAATATACAATTATAACACTCATGTTAACTGGCAACGTTACTTGTTGGAAGACAATTATATTAAAATTTTTTTTTATATTCTTTGGTTCGACATCTATGCTGTGCTCACAGAAAAGGAGTACAACATAGAAACGCATATACTTAATGTTTATCGTTAACGAGGAAAAGAAAAAGTATAGACTGTAGTAGTGAGAAAGACAAATAAAAAGAAAAGAAAATGGTGGAAGATATTTATACAGGTGAAAGTCACGTGCAATGACAGTGATTTCACTGATTGTATTATGATTTTTTCTTGAGAAAATTTCATAGACTTTTAGTTCAACTGAAAATATGTAAATATTAATAAAACAAAAATAATGTTGTTCAGATAAACTTATTGTCGCTACTGGAGATCCCTAACAGATGTCAGTCTTATGATTTTGACAAATAAATTTTCAGTTTTACGAATGAGTGGTGCACGAAATATTGATTTAAATTTTGTGCAAAAAAAAATACAATCACATCTAGCAAAACAGTTCTTTGTCTAATCATCGTCGTCGTCGTCTTCTTCTTTTACTGTTTCACATTCGCGAAGATCAATTTCAGCATAATTAGGAGCAAGTCGACGTACTGCCGTAATAAAAAATGCTGTGTATGGACCAACTAGAACTTCCTTTTCATGTTGATATTCGGATAAACTTTCAATATTCAATCCCGTCCGATGATTAATAATTTCAAATGTGCATAGAGCAGACAATTTCACTTGATCACCGTGTTGTTTTTCTCGATTTGTTGCTTCATTTCTTGCGAATTCTTCAGCTGTCTTACGATCTGTTGTTGTTGATAAGAACGCTTTATTCATTATCTTTTTTCCTACCATGTACTCCTTAAGATCATCATGAGTTACAGTCATCCCACGATAAACTTTGCCTTTGAATGCCAATGAGTCGAAATCTGGATGATTGTAAAAAAAATCAATAAAATAGGTCAAACCAAAATTTGTTCCTTGATCAAAATGTCTCGTAGCTAAATCTTTGTTTAAATTCACGTAGAAACCTGATTCGACTGTATAAGCTCGAAGAAGAGCCTTTGGATCATGTTGCACTTGATTGAGAAAGGTACGAATACGCTGTTGATCTGTATGAGACATTTCATCTCTGATGTGTTTTATGCGATGTTCTATATTTTTCGGCGTCCATCCAAAGCCTTTATGTCGAAATCGATAATCATTTGCTAATTGTTCAGCTGCTGCATCACATTTCATCCAATCAATATGACCTGAATCTTCCATAGAAAAACGATTCAATGGACGAATGAATAATTTTTTAATGTCTTCTTTTTCCGCCTCATCATAGGGTACACATTTATGACTATTCTGTATGGAGCGTCTAGCACCTTTTTCTAGTAATAGCTTTACAATTTCCGTATGACCATAGTAAGATGCTGCGTGCAATGCAGTCGACCCGTTGCTTTGGACCATATCAATTTCGTCTAATGTCATATTTGGTAATTCTTCTCGTACAACATCAATCAATCCATTGCGACATGCATAATAAAATGGACTTGTTGTCGATGATTGAGATGGATTTGATGATGAAGTCATTGATTAAAAAGAATTTATCTAAAAAAATTAAAAAAAAAATCGTTAATTTTTCTCCTCTGAATGTATCATCCCTTCCAGTTTTACAACTAAGTCTAAAAGTGATTTATTAAAAGTTTCATTAGCGAATTTAATCGGTATTCGATCTCCAATGATGTGATTCAACCATCCTTTTATTGTATAATTTTCTTCGATAATCACTGGAATAACTGGACATTCCTGTTTACTTGCAGAATCCACTTCGGCCATACAAAACTTAGAATCACGAAATTTCGATGATAAACAAGCGAGAATAGGTATTTTTTTCGCTGCTGCAATTTCCATTAATTCCAAACGATGTTTACCTTGTTTCTCTGTATATACTCGATAACTTCTTTGCCTCAAACGATCAGCAATTTTTAGACTGATGATTTTATCATTGACATTATTGCTATAACTCATCAGTAGATCAAAAGGAATAGAATCATTCCATTGATCTATAGTAGCCACTCGTTCATCATCCATCGTATCTGCTTGTTTATCTCGTCGATTTCGTGCTCGTTCTTCTTCTTTTTGTGTCTGCTCGTAAAGAATCATTTTTTCACTACCTAATTTCCATATAATTGCTTCAGCTTTCTTCTTCGAATTTACTACTGAACTTTTGCATAATTTCAGAACTTGATCGACAAAAGAATCATTGAGTTTGAATGTTTTAGTAATTATTGGTCCATGAGAAGATATTTTCCAGGCGATATGTATTGCTAAATGTTGAATTTTTTCCAGATTTTCCGGATCAGGCTGCTCTTTCTGTACATCTTCACCTTTGCGTTTTGCTTTTTCATTCTCTTGAAAGGCTGAGACACAATTCATTACGGCTGAAGTACTATCTTGATCTTCAACGAACGTATCAGTAAACGAACCATTTTTCATGATAGCTACAATTTCGAAAAGAAAAGAAGTTTTTCAATACTTTCTGGACTATATTTTGCTACATACTTTTAAGATTCTTTAAAAGACAGCTTAGTTGTATCCCGTGATAGTATAACTTTGGTACTTTGCTCGATCTATCCATATGTTCAATACAACTTTTTGATAGTGAATTCATTTCTTGTAAATCATGAAAGAAAGTTTTATCCAACGTGATCAAAAGAATCTGAGAAGTAAATTGTACTACTCTGTCGATGATATGACGTAATTCTGTACAAGTATTGGTCAAATTTTTGCTTTTTATCAGTTCAAGAATTTGTTCATCTACAGCGAGATTGTATAATAAGGTTAAAGATAATCCTATGAATTTGGTTTGTTTGATCCGTCCTGAGTGATCAAGGAATACTTTATTTTGTAGAACAGAGATTATATCTTCGATAATAGGAGTATTTAAAAATTCTAAACGAATCGATTGTTGCATGGCAAAATAATTTAACAGTGTAATATGATAGTTCAATGCATCGATTATTCCATCTTCGTTCTTTTTGTCTGTACGTTCTCGAGATTTACCATCAGATTGACTGAGAATAGGTAAATGTTGTTGAAATATGGTGATCGTGTTTTTGATCATTTTATTCGCTAATGTATCATTTACTTCCTTTTGTCGTTGATAACCATGTTGAATGAGAAATTTCGGGCATTCACACATAAAAAAGATATGTTTCGGTGCTAATTCATGACTGGTCGACGGTGCTCCGACTACTACTTTCGTTTTAGCTAATTCAATATTCTCAAAAACACTGAGATAAAACGTTGAGCTTAAGCATGCTATTACTGGAACCAAGAGAGACTCGACTTCGTGTGTACTTTGCTTGGTACATACTCTCATACGCTGTATAACACGTTTATATTTCTTTGAGTTGGATTCGTCTTCTGTTTTGGAAAGGTCTTGAATATCATCTTCCAAGTTGCTTACGAATTCTTTGCTCAAAAAAACATGTTTGGTACTCAAATCCTCATCTAAAAGTATAAAAGAAATAGAAGCTAGAAAAAGTATTATCAATGATGGCATTACTTTGATAAGTTCTAGCTCCATATTGAGCCACTCTCTGTTGAGGTTCATATACGTTATCTTGTAAATATTCCAAATATTCTTGGTGTAATTTCATCGGCTCATTTTCTTCATCAATATCATTTTCGCTCAAAATATTTGATAACGCATCGTTGGCAAATTTAATACTGGACTCTTTTGCGAGGTTTAATGTCTCAAAAATCTTTCGAAAATTCGTGCGTTTTAATAATAACAACAATGTTTTGTCGTAAGCTAAATTGCATAGTAACATGAGAGCATACGCAATAATTCGAACATTGACATCGAAAAACTCTTCATTGTTACAAGCCTTAGTCATCAATGAGTGATTATGCAAAATACGAATCATTTCATCGGAAATAGAGCTTTTCAAAAAATATCTTCTACCCGATGCTGTTAATGATAAATGATTGAGTAATTCAAGATGTGAACATAATCCTTGTAGAACAAGGCCTCTATCATTTTGATCATTTGAATCTAGAGTATCGTTAGAAAACGAAAATGAATTAGAAAATGTACTGTTGTTACAAATTATTTACCGTTATCAGGGAAAACTTGATCCATAATGAATTTGGTTTTTGTGATCATTACTGGACACAACAATTTTAGAATTTTTTCTTGTGGTATGAGTTCATGCCGAATAATTACTTGAGGACATCGATAGATAAAGAATAATTGTTTGGGTGTAAGACGAATTTGTCCTAGTTCGATGGTTGTAAACATTTGATAATACATATTTGAACATAAACATTTTACAATCGAATCACATATTGGCTGGACAATGTTTATTTTAGAGCAGAGACGAACTAGTCGATCGATGACTTTATATTTAACATGATAGGGAGGATAGTCCATTTCAGAGAGATTTTCAATTCCACGTCGAAGTTTGTCAAAAAATATGCCGGTGAGAAATATATCTTGATATGTTTTGATTGGTAAATTTTCAAAAGAAGATTTTGTTGTAGTTGATGTTGATGTTGGTGGTTTCTTAACAACTACTGTTAATTGATTTGGATGTTTTTTTGGTCGAGGAATCATTTCTAGATTCATTGAATTTTTCTCCATGGGACGTGCTTTTGGTGCACTTGGATAAAGACGAGCGGTTTTCAAGTTAGGCTTTTCTGTTATGTCCTTAATTTTTCCAGTAGAATAATGGATGGTTTCATCTCTAATATTTGGTTTACTCGTGACAGGAGGGATCTCATCTAAAAATCGTCCATAGAATACAGCAATGTATTCATTGTGATATAAACATAATTGTGTAATCAGATAGCTGATCGAATAGAAAGCATCTTCTTCATGCTTTTTCATTGGTATCGATTGTGAATGATTGGATTTCGTTAGTAACATTTCTAATGTTTGACCAATCAATATAAAGACTGGATGATTGATGATGGTGGGATGATTGATCAATTGACTCGTATGCAGATAGGCTAGCTCATCGCACGCAATTGTTAATTGATCTAATCCATCGCTTTTCTTCGATCGATATGTGATTGCTTTGAGAAATTGATGTAGTCGATCAAGATATTCTTTTAAGTCTTCAACTGTTAAGGGCAAATGTTTTTGCAATCGAAAATCCATCACAAAAAATATTGATCTAAAAAAAAAGAATAAGATAGTTCATTTAAATCTTTCACATAAATCTTGAAATTCGCGAATATTTTTAATTTTCTGTTCAATAAATGCTTTAGCTCCTCGAGTCTTTGTCCAAATACGATTTGGATTATCTCGCTCTTCAATTTTTCTTATATCTTCAGCTGTTTTCAATGCATCACCAATCTTCAATTGATCGACAGATTGACATTCCCATACCACTGAATTCTTTTCAATTTTCATGTCCATTTCATTCTTCGGTTTAGTTTTTCTTAACAGTCTAGCATGATATTCATCTGCTTGTTCATCGTTAAAACAACATCCTAAATCCGAAGGAAGTACGGAAAAATACATGGAAGGAGGTGAACAATCGATTAACTCATAAGTTCGTTGATCACTATCACCTTGTGGTGCTTGATGTATAGTAAATAATGCATCGTTTACATCTCCGGTAGGAGTGAAAGGTGGAAAATTTCCCTTAATGACATTCGGTGCTTTTTCTAACCAACGTTTAACACAATACAAAAAGTCATTTAAAGCAATTTGGCAACTTTTATCTAAATAGAAAATGTAATGATTAGATGTTGAACAAAACAAATTTTTCGGAACCCACCCAATGGCCAATGTGGCCTTATTTGTGAGTAATCATTCTCGTGTCCTGCCAGCAGTGTTTTAATATCATCCACAATCACAGTTAAACTGACAACTAAATCATCTATTTCATCACTGGGAATCTTTTTCACTTCGATTTTTTTCTGTAATTCCTGCTGATAGACTAATTGTAACTGACGATTTTGTTCTGGCGTAATTTTTTGTAGTGCCGCAGATTTTTGACCAAAGATGATCTCTTGATAATTTTCATTTTCATTTTCATTTTGTGGCTTGTCTATAGTTCTCTTGGCAGGATAAGGTTGACCACTGATACCAGGTTTTGTATAACGTAACTAAAACACGAGGATTAACTCTAATGAAGACATTATGGATTGTTGTACGAATCTACTTACGAGAGTGGATAATAATTGATCATATTCTAAATCAAAATCATCAATAAATTCCAGATCGATTTCACAATCGAATAAATCATAAAATAATGCGGCGAGAGTAAGCGAAGAAAGCCATTCATTATCTTGATTACGCTGTCTGATGACCAATGGAATCAGAGTTTTTTTTATAGATTTTGCGTGATTATATGCGGCTATACAATCCAAATCCTTGGAAAACTCCTCAGTAAAAACAACTAAGAATACATCCGACTTTTCGATATCCGATGTAGATAAAGATTTTTTCGAAGATTTCCTACAGATAGAATAACCTTCGTTAGTCAAACAATTGAACAATTGATGACAAGTTGATTGATTAGAACGACAGTAGCTGAAATAAATATTGTAACCAGTGGAAGACGATTGATTTTGATTCGTTGATGTTAATTCATCTGAAATGTCACACATTAATTGACATTTCGCTGTAACTTTTTCAACATCCAGAATTGATCCAATCAGTTGTAACTCTACATCATTCATCAAAGTCAATCGTAGTAATACAGATTTAGTTAAACAATAACTGTAGAAAGAATTTATCATATGTTGATTCCATCGTCTAAAATCGAACTGCAAATTGACACTTCGATTTGAAATGATATGTTTCTGAACATAATCGTTGATTTCATGTTCACATCGTCGAAGATCATCATTGGATGAAGTAGTCAACGTGATTTGCATAGCTATCAATGAAAAGCAAATGCAACTTTAATTGAACAGCAGAAGTTGAATATGAACTTACTCGATATTGCACAAGATACCTGCGCAAAACCATCTTCATATGTTTGTAATTTTGTCAATAATCGAGAAAATTCTGTATAAAGATTTTTTTGCTGATGATTGAATAAGAGTAGGATTCTCCATTTAGAATTTCGACTCTCAATATCTCGCTTAATTTCATTAATTAAAATTTCAACAAATTGTTTTTGCTGTTCAATCTCCATATTTTCCCAATTACTAGTTGAAAAAGCGATCCTTATCGCTTGTGGACAACAATTCACTACACTTTGTAAAGTTGATGAAATAAATTTTTCTATTGATTTTCTAAACTTCTTATTTTGCTTTTCATCATTAGACAGAATAGGTGACCAAAGATAGAAGAAAAATTTTCTACCTGATTTTTCTTCGACATATCCATTATCACTTCGATATTCTGTTTGTTCTTCGATAGCTCCAACATCCGATGAAATAATGGTTAAATCTCTCTAAAAGAAAGCAATTGTTGATTTTCCTTGGAAAAATGATCATATACCGGTATCGATGCTATTTGATCTGCCAAATAGATTTCGATTGAACTCTGTAATATTGATATCTTTTTCATAGATAATCCTGAACAGAATTCATTAGATCGTTGAACAGTTAAATTGGACGTAGCTGACGATGACGAAAATGCTTTTGGTATAGGACAAACAATCCAATCCGTTTGATTATCGATCTTCTCAATTCGACAATAATTTTTTCTCGCAATTTGGTAAATATGAGTACGTTGATCATCAGTAACGATAATTTCATTACCCATCTTAGAGAATCGGCAAATCGTACTATAAAGAATCAAATCAGTGATTTTCTGTTTCACTTTCTCGGCTACATATTGTGGTGCGCTAAATTCTTTTAATCTAATTCGTATTTTCACATGATCATCTTTGTATTCATCTTCAATATTTTGAATTTGTTCACAACAGTGATCAAGTAAATATTCTTGCTAGAATATAGACAATCAAACGATTGACTTTATTATTTCACAAATTATATCCTTACTTGACTATCCTTCAACGTTAGTCGATATATCTGAACAGTATGTTTTTGAATAAGCGATTGTAATTGTCGTTTGATCTTTTTTAGCAAATTCTTACGACCAAATAAACTGATTTTAAAGTGTGTTTTAAATGCATACCGACACTGAATGAAAGCAAATTCAGGATGTTGTTGCATAACGATAAAATCATCGATAGCTGTAAGAAAATTTTTGGTATTTTCTTTCGGCATGCCAAGATCTGCAACGTAGCCTATTTCACGAGTTAATATATCAGTAATCTTTTCAGCAGTCGTAGTATATGGTTCATGAGTGAAATAGATCGCTTTAAGGTAGCCCGAGAACATAGCAGTTTTATCCCATAAAGCGAAGATATTTTCCTTATTCATTATTTCTTCTATTACAGGAACAACTGAATCAGAAATTATATGTTGAGACCAATATATCACTAAAAGATAAATAAAAATTAAATCAACAGCGTAAGATGTACACTGTGCTGACTTACTCTTTTGATCAGTATCTTCTCGATTGAAAATTTTTTCTTGTACAGATTCGAATAATTTTTTAATATTGTCACGCGCAGCTTTTACATTTTGCTTCATACCCACCAATTCAATATCGATATCTTGACTGTCTGTTGAACGAAGACAACATTTGAGACTGTATGCGTTTGATAAATGTTGTTGAAAATGAGCTCGAAAAATTTCATTATTAAAAAATTTAATACTATGACCATATTTTTCTACTGATAGTACACAGTTTTTACTATAAGAATCATTATTTATACTTCTATCAGTGGCAGTCGAGGATGTGGCCATACTGGAATTTATAAATCTAGAAGTATAAGACAAGTTCTCGATCGCTCGATTCAGGTAAACAATATATTTGAATTTCTTCAGTTGTTCATCTCATTTTTGTTAGATTTGATTTGTTTTCGGAGAGTGACGACACTATCTGCCTCATTGTCTAACACACTATATGTTAATTTAAAATGGACGAATAAAGTTGAAAATAAATGGATCAACAACTTTGATCACACCATCAAAAATGTAACAAGATTAGTAAACAGAGACGAAAAACACAAAAAAAATATGTTGCCTTCCTTTCTTATATGACACTCAAGCGTCGCTTTTTCTTACTATTCAGCGAACGATGTGCATCGACTCTCGGCGAAAAGAAAACGCCGACAGGTGTAAAACTCACTTGCATATTTTATTACTTCATAGGAAGAAAAAGAAAGAATTCCTTATTTGATGTTGCTCTCAAATTTACAGACAAGCACATGGTTGGTTTTTTCCAATCTTTCAAAGAAAAACTGAAAGAAATTGATGCTGCTCCGTTGAAGTTTTGCTAATTAATAACATACTTTTTTTTGTAGAAACATATTTTATTAAATCAATTTTTGTTGCATCATCCATTCTCGTCTAAAATTCATTTGTAAATGAAGGTGAAATCTGATGATCCAAATGAAGGTGGTTGTGAAATTGACGATCCGGTTCAAGTTAAGTTTTTTCACAATACAAAATTTTGTCTCCGCGTACAAGAATATCTACAAAAATTACTTTCTGTACAAATCGCCATCGTCCCTCAGCAACTAATGAAAGAACGACGGTATACTGAGAACGTAGAAAATGGTTACCGAATTCATATCTTGGATACGAAGGAAAATAAAACAGAGATCGAAAAAGTCCTCTCAGATGCTATCAAAAATCTATTTGAAACAGTTCAATCACAAACATTCACTAATGACAAAGGTTTGCAATGGCATCTTTGAATGATAGATCTATATCAACTAGGTTTTCTTCTATTTCAGTTAAAGAATGGTTACAAAATCGTCCTAATACATTAAACAATTTGGCCTGTCTACAAACAATTATGGATGAGAAAATTCATCATCTCTTTACTGTGTGCCAGGAAGATCCTAAATATTCGTTAAAAATTTATTATTTTTCTGAAGATTTATCGAGTGTTCCTAATATTAAAGAATTAATTAAAATCGTCCCAGACAAAATCGTACAAGAAATCATATTATTCCCATATCAATCTGTACATTCCAGACGAGTTAAACACGAATCAGAGGAATTAATCACAGGAGCAACTGCAAAGGGAGATATATCGGTTTCGGTCACTAATGATAATTCAAATTTGAAGATGATGCAAATAAAAATTATAATATTTGGTTATTACAAAACAGTGAATCAATTGAAGAAAGATTTGTCGCTAATGATTGCGAGATATGATGTGACAACATTTAAATTTAGTTCTCTCGATACATATCAAGTAAATGATTAACTTAATTTTTAGTTATTCTTAAAAACTACTATTTATTTTTATGTAGGTGGAGTTTCTCTTAAGAAACTGCCGTGACGAATTGAGAGAAATCGAAGAAAAATACGAACAATTTGGTCTAGTGTTACGATTGAGATCAAATGAATTTTTAGCACCTGCACACCTAGAAAAGGAAATTCAATCTTCTATTACACAGTTGTTATCGGACTCGAATACTAGGACCTTTAAGAGTAGTTCGTTACCAAAAGGTGTCGCAGAAATAGCAGAGAAACATTTAAAATCAATTTTTCAACATAATTATTGTCATATTATGATTGAATTAAGATCAAAATCTCAGTATTACACCATACCCAAAGCGTCGTCCTCCAATACGGAAGTCATGCCTGTCGATGATTTTCTTTTCTCTCCAAATGTATTCAGGAAAATTAATGTGGCAAATGGATCGATTGAAATTCGTATAGGAGATATTGCTTTACAAAAAGTAAGTTTAACGATTATTCGAATCAATACACTTCTATTTTTAGGTGGATACTATAGTCATACCGATGACAACAAATGGATTAAAAGAAGGTGTGATTGAACGAGCAGGAACATTCAATTATGAACGTACTTATACAAATGCAACAGGACCAACGTTTACGGAAACAAATGGAGGAAAGCTGAGTTGTAAACGAATTCTCTTTTCAAACTGGACGCCACAGACATTGATCAATGACGAAAATGAATTACGAAAATCGATACAATTGTTTGTTTCGAAATCTGTAGAATATACATTAAAAGAGGGAAATGCAAGGTCAATGGCATTCGTTGTTTCTAGTTTATGTGCAAACGAAATAGTTCTGGTAGAAGAACTGATTAATACTGCAAAACAACAACTAGAATCGAAAAAGTCACAATTGAAAATCTCCTTTATTCTATTACCAGAACAAAAGACTTTGTATCGTCAATTTTTTTCTTTTGTTGGAAAATCACAGGATGGCTATGCGCAGTTGGACTGTCCGACATCAAGTAAGATAGATATGATTATAATGATGAGAGTATTTAAAATTCTTTGTTTTAGTTATTAAGATCACCCTTCATGCGACTACAGATGAATATTTAACAAGATGTCAAAATAAAATAAATAGATATTTGGAACGATGTATAACTTCGATGAAATTAGCTAATGCTAATGGTATTTTTCAACACTGGGATCAACATATGATCAACAAGTTTTACAAATATTGTCATAATCAATTCGTTTTGCCAAATCTCGATCAAACAGGCGAAGAACTTGAGCTAGTCGGATTTGAAAAATATGTTCACGAGACTAAAGAAAAATGGCATGTTCTATCTCATTTAGCAATAGAAAAACTTTTACGCACATCGACGACAAATCGTTCAAGATCAGCACGAGTTCATACTTACAATCTAATGCTGAGTTACTGTCAACAAGATACCAAAAAATGTCAGCATCTCATTAAACGATTTATCGAAGAGGGTTTAACCGTATGGGCAGAACCGATCGTCGACGAACAGCCACGTGATGCTTCCTCTCAGATGAATAAATCAGAGTGCATTATTCTTTGTATTAGTGAAAATTATTACGAGAGTCAATCATGCGAGAAAGAAGCAAGACATGCTTTGCAAACAGGCAAACCAACTTTCTTGGTAAAAGTTCGAAACGATCCATTGTTCGGTTGGCAACGAGAGATCTTTGAAGGAAAATTACTTTTTTCATTTTTTGGATCCGATTATTACTTGAATTTGCAATACGATCATTTATTATTGAAGATTGTAAGTATTCCCAAATGTCTTATTATTTCTCTATCACATACTTTGATTTTCTGTGTAGTTACAATCGATAAAATCAAACAATTCCTCTTTGAAACAACCAGTCGAGCAACTACGATCAAAATATGATAGAAGAGTTCAAATCCTCATGCAAATTGGTCATATAGAAAATGAAGAAATGGTAAAGTTAATTCAACAACTACAGAACGTTATTGATGCTCCTGATCAAGAAAAAACTGAGTCAGATGAACAAACTCAAGAAACTAATACTGATCATCGAGACACGAAGAAGAATAAAGGTAAGTGCACGGATCGAAGTTCTTCTAAAATATAATCTATCTTTGTCGGAATAGGAGAATATGAATGGATCGAACGTTGGCTAAGAAAACCAACGAATATTACAAAACAGAATCTACCACCGTTTGCATTCAGTGGTGATATCAATGATGCGATATTTCCGATGCCTGAATATATAGTTCAGCAACTAGGTATAGAAGATCAATCACTTTTATTCACACAACCTTCTACAGCAAAATTTCGAAATATATTTGAATGCGATATTATTAAACGATCAGTCGTACGTTCATCTCCGCGCGATTTATTAAATGAATTTCCTGTAGATGACGAATATACCTATGGAATGTGTACACAACAAACAGAGTACTCTAATTGTATGTCTCACGTATTCACTGACTGGCATTCTAGTACCGATGGCGATACACAGAATAAAACACGTTTACCTTGTCTACCAGTAGAAGTATCCAATCACTCCAAAAATAAGGCACACAAATGTCGTGATTCAAACCGTACAGACAATTCGGCAAACATGAAGGAAGAAGATGTCAAATATATTGCTAAAAAATATCAACCTACTACTCGTGCAGAATTAGATGTCTACTTCAAACAGTTTGCTCAACGAATGCAAGAAAATATCATTCAATTTGAAAATTTCTGTGCAACGGCTGCCGTGCACCCAACCGATCGGAAAAAGCGACGAACTATCCAGTAATCTTCGTATTTTTCGAACCGATTCTTTGAGGGTGTGGGTGTCTCTTCTCTTAGCTCATACCCACACCCACCTACCCTTATTAACTGTAGAACAGAGTTTAATAATCATATTGAAATTTCTCTTTTAATCGTTTCAAAGTTGAAAAAATGTTTCGTCGTATAATTTAGTCGGTATTAATATTTCTGCTCTTTTTGTTTTCTTCTTTTAGATAAAACATAAAAATGACTAGTAGTTCAGCGAAATCATCTGAGCCTCTTACAACAAAACATCCGATATCAGGTATTGTTTTTTCATCATTATATGTTTTCTGATAGTTATTCAGGTTATTCAGGATCAGTCTCTGACAGTCAATCAACGTCGTTTGGACTCGAACACAAACAATACAAAAATGAATCATCACCTAGTTCTAACCAATTTGTAAATTCCAAGAATTCTCAAATAAACAAAGAAGACGCATTTTATGACTCCTCCGATACGGAAGAGGATGGCCCTGAAGAAAACTGTAGTCCTGGTAAAGCGTTATAAAAATCAACATTTATCTGAAGACGAAAGTATCATTTTTTTTCATTAGGACCTGCTGCCTATAATACAGGCGGGAGTTCGATGAAATGGGTGTATCCATCATCACCTCAGTACTCATTTACCGGAGGGAGCCGATCGAGGGACTATTGGGCTAGTCCGGGACCATGCTATCACTCAACCAAACCGGAATGCTACAAACAAAGAGCACCTAGTTATTCTTTTGGTGTTAATCATTCAATAAAAAGGCTTTAACTATTATGAAATACAAAGATTAGCACAGCCACGCAGCCATTATAATTGACTTACAGATCATTTTTTTCTCGGGTGTGCGTATTATTTTTACTGTATTCAAACCCACATACCCCTCCTCAAAATTTCAATATTTATCAATCGTTAATATATATAAATCTCAATCGAAAGATAAATAGATTTCAACTACTCCGTGTTTTCTAATATATTCCAAAATATGACTAATTCTAAGAGATCGATTAAGCTTAGTAACTTTTTCTCAACTGAATGAGTCTATCGCAGCTTGTATATGTGAATTGAGAGAAAAAACGAATACTATCGTTTTTTTCATGTGTTGTTGACTAATAAAAAGTCTAGATTTTCTCCATTAAATCGGGATTACAACAGACGTTAAACATAATGCACATGTTGTTTGTCAATGATGGATACCCGACAAAACAGACACGAAAAGTATCGTGAATAATCTTGCCGGCACAACTTTCGCAGAAACCTCGACGGTCATAAGGAATAAAAAGGAAATTTCGTTGATCATCGAAACAAATGGGACAATTAGATATCTCTCTGATTTAGTCTACTTTCGCTGAAAAGTGAAGGAGAACAGCAACAACTATTTCTATAAAATTCATTCATTTCTTAAAATGCATCAATTCAGTATTGACAAGAAGAAAAGGTGCACAATACACGAGCGATGATTTGCACACAGCCGTAGATCATTCTCAAGTTTTTTTCACTTTTTTTCTTTCGGAAGAAATGATGAAACAACAAGAAAAGTGTGAAGATGCGAATGTTGCTTTGGTAATTCCAACATAAAGTACAGTATGACGCATACACTTTTTTTATTGTACACGTTTTCAATAAAGAATACAATTTTTTTCTTATTCCACAGTATGACGTACACATTTAGCGAGACTGCTTTTTTTATTGACTCTAGAACAGAGTTTAATAATCATATTGAAATTTCTCTTATTGTTTTAAAGTTGGAAAAATGTTTCATCGTATGATTCAGTCGGTATTAATATTTCTGCTCTTTTTCTTTTCTTCTTTTAGAAAAAAACATAAAAATGACTAGTAGTCCAGCGAAATCATCTGAACCTCTTACGACAAAGAATCCGACATCAGGTATTATTTTTTCATTATTATATATTTTTTCATAGTTATTCAAGTTATTCAGGATCAATCTTTGACAGCCAATCAACTTCGCTTGGACTCGAACACAAACAAAACAAGAATGAATCATCACCCAGTTCTAGCCAGTTTGTAAATTCCAAAAATTCTCAAACAAACAAAGAAGCCGTATTTTATGACTCTTCCGATACGCAACAGAATAGTCGTAAAGATGACTGTAGCCCTGGTAAAGCGTTATAAATATCAACATTTGCCTGAAGACGAAAGTGTCATTTTTGTTCATTAGGACCTGCTGCATACAATATAAGCGAGAGTTCGAAGAGATGCGCGTATCCATCATCACCTCGTTACTCACTTACCCCACGTCGAGAGAGCAGTTGGTTAAATTATAACAATAATCCGGGTCCATGCTATCACCCATTCGGACTAGAATACTACAAGCAAAGAGCACCTAGTTATTCTTTTGGTCATAAGCACTCAATGAAAAAGGCTCTGGGTATTGTGAAATACAAAGATTAGTACAAACACGCAGCCATCATAATTGACTTACAAATCGTTTTTTTT